AATTAATTCCGAAAATAATTGTATTATTATTAGAATAATTAGTTTTAAATGTTTCGAACGTATAGGACGAAACTTTCTATAATTAAAGTATATAATTTTATTATTTCTTAAAGAAAATATTAGTCGAATTTATAATTATTTTATTAAATAATATTTTTCAAATATATATACCGGCCCCAATCTATTATATATTGGAAATTAAAAGCTTTAAGCTTATTATATTTATAATATAAAATTATTAGTTTTCCGGATATAATGTAACGGCGATTGCGTTGAGGTTGGATAATATATTAATTTTAATATTTTATAAAGTCCGAAAACTCGGTTTGAATCCAGAGTATAAAAATATATAATAATATTATATGATCTTCAACCCTAGTAAACGACTATACGTTTATAAATTTAAACTTTTTAAAAGAATTTTACTAATATTAAATTAAATCCGATTATATATAATCGGGGGATATTTATTGTTTAGAAAATCGTTCTGCTATCGCGTAATTACTTTTATTAATTTTCGATACGCTAATTATTAGTACTTTTTCCTTGGAAGAAAACGTTTTATATATTGAACAGTCGTTCCGGATTGTATATTAATAATATTTAATTTTTTTCTATTATATTATATTGGGTGGGAAGGTTTTTTTTATTAGTACCTGGTTTAAAAACGATGATTAAATTTAGGATTATCCGCTGGAATTTTAAAATCCGCTAAATTTTACTCCCGATTATAATATAATAAAATTTATTTACTACTATATTAATTTTATTCCCGCAATTAAATTGTAGTTAGATTGGTATAAACCTATACTTTTTAATAAATTTTACCTATTAATAAAAAATAGACCTCGCTATCGTTATAGAGATACTGATATAGAACTATAGGACGTAATATAAATATGTATTAATATCCGCGTATACTTTAATATTAAATTCGTATAATTCTAAATATATATTAATATATTATATATAATTTAGATTAAATATAATTTACCCGCCCCTATAATATTATAGAAGGTTTAATTTCTCTTATACTACGTACGGGAAATAATTTTTAAAATAGGAAAAAAATAATTCTCGAAATAAATAAAGGTCGAAAAATTTCGCGAAATAATATTATTATTCCTATTTATTTAATTTCCGAATAAAATAAGTTTCCTCCGAATCTTTTATTTTATTAAAAATAGCACGTATTTTATTGAATTTCTCACAAATAATTTTAGGCGTATATTTTAGAAAGATATTTAATTGTCTTTGTAATGTTTATAAATTATGTAAAACAATTATAAAACTACGGTTTCAAAGTAAAATTAATAGTTCATTATTAGTAATTAGTAGTTTAAAATATATTATTTTAATCTATTTGTAAAATTTATCGGTAGGAAGAGTTTTTAATCCCTATAAAACTATAATTTCTAAAATTTTAAGCAAGCGGCCTAATATTAAAGTATTTATTATAATACTAAATTACTCCTTTAAACCTTTTAAAATATTATTACGAGAGAATTTATTTGTATATATTTAGAAAATAAAATTTATATAAGGGCGGACGTCGGTACGTACGCGAATTATTATAAGAAAATAATATATAATAAAGTTTTAAAGTATTATATAATTTGTTTAATAAATAGTTTATACTTTGTAATTGTATTAAAGAATAGGCGATTTTTTATTGTATTTGAATATAATTTTCCTGGGAGTGTAATTAAAATTAGTTAATGTATATCAGAGGTAATTAATCATAATATCCTAAATTGATTTAAATTCCTTTATAAAGTACCTAGTACGGACTTATATAAATAAAATTCTATATTTCTATATAGCCACTTAAAAATTGAAGATTATTAGCGATTTATTTTCTATTCTTTATTTAATTATATTCCTTCAAAAGTTTATAATATATATATATAGAAAATATATATATAACCGCGTTTAAAAAGATAATCTTTTAATAAATATTCTAATCTTTATGTTTATTCATTTTGAACAAAAATATAAATTTTCTAATTGCGTTCTCTTTTAAAAAGTAAATTAATATTTATATAAATATATAAATATACATAATTAAATTTTTAAATTTGTAAAAATATTCTTTTAGAATTATCTTCGTTAATTAATACCGGACCGATATATTTATATAGATTTCTAATAGTAAAGGTTATAAACCTACCCCTCCCAACAAGTAATTACTTACCGGGCTCGTATATACCCGATAAAATAAGGATTATTATAGGATATATTAATCTTATTTCGAAATAATCGTTCTTATGAACCTTCTTAAAGGGTATTACTCTTTATAATATAATATTCTCATATACCCTACTACTCCCACATTATTAATATTAAGAATAATTATTTTTAAAACTTTCGTTTTATAATTCTTATAAATTATATATATTAATTCTTTTTATATCATAAAGATTATTATTATAATAAATAATTATATATTTATTCGAATATTTATATATATATATATACATACAATTTAATATAATTAGCTTTGGTATTAATAAGCTTCTTTAATTTAAAGGTATTGAAAATTATATTCTTTAGGTTATAAGAATTCAAGTTTATTCTACCTTCATAAAAATTTAGAAAGGATTTTAAAAAAAACCAAAAATAATAAAAGCGCCCTCGTTAAATTATAATTAATGATATAGAACGGTTCCTTTTATTATAAATAATATAAAGCCTTAGCGCTTTTAATTTAATAGAATTTAAAGGATTTATATAATTTTAAAGGTTTAATTTTTGAGATTTTTATTATAAAAGAATCTTTTACCGTTATTGTTCAATAAGATATAGAAAAATATTTAAATAAAATTAAACTAATAATTAATAAATTAGAAGCTAAGGAAATCGAATTACCTCTTTAAATCTTTATATTTTAAATTTCATTTAATTTGGAATAGGAGTTTAAATGTTAATTTTTCTCTATAATTGAAAAATTTAAAAAGGATTTTAAAGTTTATACTTTAAAAATACTAGTTTCGTCTTTATTAAAGAAATTTAAGCGTATAGATTCTAATTATAATAATATTGTTTTTATTAATAAATAGAATAATAATAAAGTGTTTGAATTTTATAATAAGAATTTTAATGCTTTTTAAATTTTAAAAGCAATTAAAAAGGTTATTTGCTATATTCATTATGATAAATTTGATTATACGTATATTAGGTATATCTTTCTTTAGTTAAATAAGGTTCCCAAATATTTTAAATAAATAAAGAAATATAACAGTTTTAATACTTCTTCTATAATTTTAAAAGTCGAAAATAATAAATTTATTAATAAAATTCTCGCAAATACTTAAATAGTAAATAGGATTATACTAAATATTCTAAATATTATTACTCAAAGAATTTAATTTATTAAATTATTAGATAATTATTATTAAATACTAAAATTAAAAAATGGAGAAATATTTAATAGTTTTCTTAAATTATATTATTCGGCTACGTTTAATAAAAATAAGATAAATAATTATATTAATATTTCTATAATCTATTTTAAATTTATAATTTGTATTATTATGAATAAGAATTTCTTTTATGCTTTCAAAGAAATTAAAAATATAATTTCTTAAGAAAAGGCATTTAAAGATTTACATTAAATATTATAAATATATTACTAAGTCTTTTAATTATTTTATAAATAATTAATTTATATACATAAATTATTTTATACTATAGTATATTAAAAATAATTGTTTTAATTCTATATACTACGTATAAATTAAGTAAATTTGAAAAAGTTATTTAATTATTTAATGTAGAAAGCGTTCATTGTTTATTAAATACGATTGTTCTTAATTAAAAGTAATTATTGGATATTAAATACTAAGACCGAATATACTATTCGTATAGAAATAATATATATATATACAAAAATTAAAATAAGTTCGTAGTAAAATAAAGCTAGAATTACCTATATATTAAATATATTTGAAGAATTATTAATATAGTATAATTATATTCCCATTTTACGTTTTTGCAGCGACATCGCTTTAACTACTCTATATTATCTAAGATTACAAATAAGAATATTTTTTATTTCTTCTAATTTATTAAACGTTATTTTATTTATAATATTATTTTTTAATTCTCCGTTTAAGGAATTTATATCTCTTCTACCTCCTCCTTCTTTATTTTCTTTCTTTAACCCCTTTTTAAAAGAATACTTAATAGGCAACCTAATGTAGTAATAGTATATATAGGCGCTGCTAAACTACTTTGGGTAAGGCGTAATGTATTCGGCCGTTGGGTATATAATAGCTTCGTTAATATATTTAATATATTCGTCGCTATTATATTTCTCTTTAAATAAATATATTATAATAATAATTATTTACCTAATTATATTAATTTTAAGAATAATAGGTTTTTATGCCCTATTCTTAAAAGTCTTTCTAACTTCCTATAAATATACGAATTTTTATTAAAGCTAATAATATTAAATTGCTTCTAATATAATAATATAATTTTAATATACTATATTATCCTTTAGGATTTATTTAGTAGAACCCGTAATATATTTTACGATTTTAGCTAATAAATAAGTAGTTTACTCTTCGGTATTTAAAACTTCACTCTACTAAATAAGGGGCGTCGGTGACGGGCGGCTAATAAATTTAAATGGCGGCGGTATAGTAGGGATTTGTATAGGGAGCGGTAAAGGCGCTATAAAAGAGTTTGGAAAAAGTAGCGAGAGAGTAGTGAGAGAGCGGAGAGAGAGTGGTAGGGGAGTGGTAGGGAAGTATACATATTAGTTATACAATATTAAAGTATAAGGGTATAGAAGGAAAGTAATTAATTTAGAGAGGAGGAGTATACGTGTATTTGTATATAGAGTATTAATAATTTTTCTAATAAATGGTTATAATTGAGAGTTCGGACTAATTTTCATTTGAGTATAGCCAACACTTGGGCTACCGTAGTTGAGGCTCTATTAATGCCTGATGGTCATATCATCTACAGGTAAACAACAATCAACCTCGTGTCAACAAACCGTTGAGGAGAAAAGGTAGGTAGGTATCTACCCGTACAAGAGACGAACATTCGAGTACCCCGTCGTCTTGAGATACTTTCGCTAACTAAAGGTATGCAACAGTTCGCTTCCTTCCCGTCCGCTCGGCGCTGATATTCGACTTCAGCCTTACACTACCATGGAAGAGAGACAGCAATCTCCGCTCCCACCGATTGAGATCTCGTCAGATTCAAAAGACTTCGCCACACCTATTAACCCTCCTAGCCCACCACGTGGGCGCAAACCGGCAGCTTCCAGTCCATTGCCAGCTCGGCCGCCTCCAGTCTCCCCATCAACAATGGCGCCCGCAACCACAAACATCTCGCCAATGTGGCAGTCCTTGCCTGTGGAGCTTGTGCAACGAGTTCTTCATGAGCTCGTCAGTATCCATCTCTGGGACATTGACTCGGACCCGTTTTATCCCTGGGAGACTCTCCGCCAGCTGAATCATCAGCAGAGGCGACGGATCGATGCTCTATACCGACAGCTCTTACTCCCCATCTCGAACCTGACACTTTGGACAGAGTTTTGCCCTACTTCAAAGCATAGCCCTGATGATCTTGATAGCGGCACGGGGTTATTATATCGGTTCTGGGTGTGGGACGAAGATAAAGGTTATAATTCCACCAACGACACGATAACCTTGTCTCTCGCCGGGACTGAAACGATGCTATCTGTGGATGACGACGAGGGGTTTGATACTTCAAAGGGATGGACTAAATATGTCAACAGCTTCCCACCCGGTGGACTTTACGTCAACCCACAACCCGATTACGGCTTCACTCTGAAGTTGAGCTCTCCGCCTCGACCCGGTTATTCCCCTGATTTCCACTTGTCATTGCAGGGGGAGATACCGGCCAGCCATGTACCTGACGTCCAAGATGATTCCGACGATGATTCGATTAAGCTCAGCTCGAGCCAACTCATTGGCGCCTTGATTCGGGCATGGAAGAAAAGGATTATAGAGTATGAGCGGCAAGGTATATGGAAGACTCAATGGTATATCCCACTGGAGCGCCTTGATGATCTCCCCGAGGTCTAAGGAGGATATACACAATAGGCATCAGTAAACCTTTGCGAGGGGCAAAGGTTCTGAGTGGGAATAATGCCCTTCACCACCCTTGCAGCCGTCCGTTCACCTGCCCCCGCGTTCACCATTCACTGGACAACCAACACACTGATTCATCACTTCGAATATTTAATTCCTTTCTTCCCGAAACTACATATCTTCACCTCTTCAACATCCGTCTCCGTCAACAGCATCACCGCTCGGTTTCGCAGTAACCTAGGAACATTGATCCTCATACAAGGTCTGAGCCCTTACACCATCCCAGTACGACGTGATTCATTTGTTCACCGTGGCTAACTAGGTGCTTCCGTTCAGTCCAGGTGTTGACAACATATCCCCAAGCCGTCAAGACACTCAACTTCACCAATTTGTACCATGGAAGCCTCAAAGCAGCAACTGTCGTCCCCAATCTGGCAGAACCTCCCAGTCGAACTACTCCTCAATGTGTTCGATCACCTCATCAAGATGTCTCTCGATCAAATCGAGACCGACCCCTTTTACCCCTGGGTCCTCCGCCAGGTACACCGCCATGTCAAACACCGCATCGACAGAGAATACCGACGGGTACTCTTTCCCCGTCTTTTCGTCATCAACCAGTTCCGTAATTACTCCCAGAGAAGGAACACCGTGGAAAGCATTACAGGAGTCCCAAACCCACGGCATGCCCTGTGGAAACCGTACATTGACGAACAGGCGTCAAAGTCCTTCTCCACCTGGGATGACGGCGACAGGGTGACGTTCTACACCCTTCCGGACAGTCCACTCGAGCGTAGGTTCGAGTGCAATCAGCACCTTCGCAGTGGCAACCGTCCGGTATGGGAGAGGCCTAGAGTCCCCTACGTTGACGTTTGCCTTCTCCTTAAGAGGCGCACTCTTGCAGTAACGCTTGAGGGGGCGACGGCCTTCAGGGACACGTCCATGGAAACGTCGGTTGATCGCGTGGCTGTACGGTTCAACGCGGTCCAACTCATTGACGCCTTGTTGACGGAATGGGAGCGACGTTCGAGGAGGATGGGGGCTGTCCACTGGTTACCAAGTGAAGGTTGGCTGGAAGGCAGTCAGGATGAAGTCAGTCAGTGTTACTTCAAGTACTAGGGCGGGGTTCTCGCCGGTACTGGGGGCGGACAAAGTAGTGATATCATTCGATTTTACCCCAACACATGTCGGTGATGGTTAATCCTGTGGTGGTGGAAGCAGGGAGTGATGAGGGTGGGAATATACCTCTATATGGCATATACCCCGGACTTTGTCAACTGGGAAGAAAGGATCAGAAGGATGTTGATGGCCAAGGCATATGTAGGCCTTTGGAGGTACACAGTTCCTCGCCAATTGATGATTACCATTGACTAAATCATAGGTAAATGCCCCCTGAACCCCTTTTGTTCGGTCCCCCTCCGAATTACCCTGTAAACTAGTAATTCCCTCCCTTGCCTTCGTGATACGTGGTACAGAAATGGAGCAAGGTTCTGCCTAGCTATCCCCACTGAGAATCTCAGCTGTGTTCTTGACAGGTGATTAATACTAGAACCAAGACATACCCCTATTGGAACTCGTATTATGTTGGCACCTAGCCCGTTGGCTCGGGACGAATCGGACGATTGATGACTGATGACCAACAACAACCCGCTAGCCCGTCTTCGACCAACCAGCCGACCAAAGCAAGCACAACCCGTGCAACATGAGCTTTTCCGTCAGCGTATATAAATCGCAAACGTGATCTTGCCACTTTGACTGGCTGGGATCCAATGCCAATCCAGTCGCCAAGTCGAATCCGCACTGGACGGAATGTTACCTCCAAGAAGAGGCTTAAAACTCTACAAGTCCGATGCAACTGATGATCTGAAACTCTAAAACCCGGTGATCTATTTGCGGCTCAGTAGGCTCGGTCGTAAGCACATGGAACGTTCCTTGCTGTCTTACACGAGGGTCGGCCTAACCATATACCGCCTTTTGGGGGTATCTTTGTCGTGTGAGTTGCGCCACGCCCTCACAGGCTTGTTGTAGGGGCCGCAATGACAACTCTGATTGAACCACGGAAGGAACTGACTCGGAGGAAGTCTTGTAGAGGAAGGATTGACTTCGTGATGAAAGGATACGGTACACCAAATGAGAAGTGGGAAAGGAAGGTCAGTCCGGACAGTCAGATGCCAAAGAGGGCCTGTCACCGACTCGCCGTTCGTGTTACGGAAAGAAAGATGGTTCCACATCGGGATATGCGGTGAACTGGAGGACAACATATAAAGCCACGAGCCCTCGACAAATTCTTGAGTTGAAAAGATCATTATCCCATCTACTATCGGCACCACTGCATCAAAGTCATCCTCGATCTTTCCCTTCAAGTCGTATCCAGCACCAAACCACTTCAAAGAAGCACAATGAAGTTCTCAACCCTCCCATCCGTTGCCTTCCTCGCCTTCTCAACCGGCGCCCTCGCAGCTCCCCAACCCATCCTCACCAACAGACAAAAGTAAGCCGATCCCTCCTCCTTTTCTCTCCCCTCTTCCTTCCATTCCACGTCTAAAATCTAACTCGCCTCCCCTCTATCCCCAGCTCCCAACCCCCCCTCTCCAACCCCAACCAAAACGCCTCTCTCCAGCCCTTTCTCTCCTCCGCCTCCTGCTCCGGTCCGCCCTCGCAGGTCCTGATTCCCGTCTCCTACGCCACCTTATCCCCGGACACCACGCTCTCTCAGGGATGCTACGAGTTCGTCGACAACGGCGTGTCGACCCCCGTCCAGTCGGTTAGGATCACGGGCGTCTGGCCGGAGGCGAATAAGTGCTTGTTGAGGTACTATGAGGGGACGGGGTGCGCTGCTGGTGGAAGTGCGTTTGGGACGGTGGCGCCGAATACGTGTGGTGGGTTTGGGGGGAGGGGGATTGGCAGTTATCAGGTTGTGTGTGAGAGGACTTAGTGTGTTGGAGTTGAGAATTGGGTGGGGTTTGAGTGGCTGTTGAGCTATGCTGTTATGGTTTGGTGATGGATGAGTGATGGTTGTTGCGGATTAGGAAGTGTAAATGCTGTTCGAGTTGAGAGGTTGGGTACTTCAAGGTGCTCGAGGCACTGTTATTGGGCGTGGAAACGCTAGATGTAGACTACCTACTTGGTTAAACACGATTTCCCCTCCTGTCTTCATTCTCCCCCAGCCACCCCGTAGGTGTGCAGCATTGCCTTAATCAGATTGTGCCACTTGAATCGAATGCGTCGACCACCGTCGTGCACCTCCAAACCTTCCAACACGATCGAACTCCCATCCATGACGAAACACTTGTTTGTTCATCGGTCCCTCGAACGTCGGGTCGTCCATACCATATAGGGATGGTATGGAGCCCACCATGAATGGCGACATTGCCCCGTTGCGGTCATTGCGCATGGTGACCCTTTGATTTTCCCAGACAGCAAGGAGAGCGTCAAGACCTTGCTGTCCATATAAGGGAGCCCACACACGGGAGTCGGGATTATACATGCTCATCCCCTCGGGGAGAAGCTTGTTGTAATACGTGGTTGTGTTAAGAATCATGGCAGGCCTATGAAGGAAGAATGTGGCCATTCCGCTGCTATCGACCACGGTACTGCTGCGATTATGAGGAATTTGCTGAGGAACAGGAAAATATCGAAAGTAATGCCCACGGGAGAAATCGACGCAGGCGAAGAAGACCATCGTGCTCAGCCATTTATCGAGGAAGTAGTGCTCGAGAGACTTGTGGGACTTGAACAGATTCCAACCCTGGCGGTATGCTGTCCAAGCCGTGATCAAGGGCTTGGTTTGGACGGCATGTGTCTCGGGACGAGAGCGAATGCGGCTGCACATGACGTCTAAGAGCCAGTTGTGGTACGTGTTTCGAGTGTTTAGGATGTCTTCGAAGAAATAGTCGAGAATTTCCTGGATGAGCTCGAAAGGAAGCGATTTCCACACTGGTGAAAGTTGTTCGTCCATCTCGTCCGACGCTATGATGAGTGCTGCGTAAGACTCGTAGCAATTCCAGAGTCGTAGAAGAAGTAGCGACGTATATCCGACAGGCAAGATATCTTGTCGTATGCCGTATGGTTTATTGGTACTGCAGTATTTTCTTCGGCGGTTGCTGGGAGAAGAACGATTCGGAGAAAGCTGAGAATTTCCGGCGAGGGGGCAGCAGCGTTGCAAGTTCTGATGGGTGGCCCAACGGAGGTGGAAAGGCGATGACGGAAAAGGGTTGGGCTTGGTAAGGAATTGGTAAAGGGAGTGGACGGAGACCAGGCCAGATATCTGGGAAGAAAAATGAGGGACTTAAATCAGGCACCTGTGGGTATTTGAGGCTATATAGGCAATAGTAGTGTGTTCACTGTGTTGGCTGCCCAGTGAATGGTCACAACGGAGGCAGGTGAACGGACGGCTGGACGGCTGGACGGCCCAGCTGGCTGGTGAAGGACGCTATCCCCACTTAGAACCTGTCTCCTACCAAGGTTTCCCGCCTGTCGTTTGTATTGCACTTCTTCTACGTCCGAATCAAGCTGCCAATGAGTTCCATTGGCTTTGCATTCACTCACGGTCTAGGGTAGTAGGCACAAGCTAAAGGTGGCGATGGTTTCCGCTTGATTCTTTGTAATGGAATTCGAGGTACTTGTCAACCATAGGTACTTTCAAGGGACTCTAGTGCCTAGCCAGAACTCTGTTAAGAATCACATTGTTGTGTTGACAAGTCGGCATTTTAGAGAAAAGATACATGTGAGTGATGCCCATTCTTTCTTGGAATCTAATCAGATTCGGGATCCTCTGATACCTAAGGTAGAGGTACTATCTACAGGGGCAAGCTTCGCTCTTCCTCTGTCTCGTAGAGGAACCAGTTCACCATCGCCGTGATGAAATCCTCCCACCTGAACCGAATGTACCTGCCATCCTCAGACACCTCCAAGCCCTCCAGGTCAACTGAACCCTTGCGGAGATTGTACATATCCATGGCCCGGTTAAATTCAATAACGTCTTTCTGCCAAGTTCTGGCACGAACCCCAACAACGAGGCAGCTCGAAGTTCTGTCCTCAACATAGTCGTCCCAAGCATCAAGGAGATCGTCCATCAGTTCCTTCAGTGTCATGAGCCCCTCGTCTACGACGAATCCATTTTCTTCGGGCTTGTAAAGGAAGAAAGTGACCTTCGTTCCGCTATCCCGCTGGCTGTCTTGGGAGGGGCCAGCCCTCACCATGGCGTGATGATCTTCCGACTCGGGAAAGTGGAAGTATCGAAGAGAGGGGGCTTCAATCTCGGCGTCAAGGCACAGGTAGAGCGTCACCCTGCTCAACCATTCGTCTCGGAAGTGGCGCTCAATGAGAGGTCTCTGACGCCTGAAGAGAGACTCACGGCGAAGGTTCCAGGTTTTGAATGACATACCATTGGCAATGCCGATGGACGGGGAAAGGACGAGCTTTCCGTCGGCATCAAACTCACATTCGTCGTTGAAAAAACACCTGTTGATGAAGCTCTCAATGAGGTGATTCAAAATCTTTTGGACGAGTTCAATTGGGAGCTCTCTCCATAACGGCGAAATTGCCCGCTTGTTGTCCCACCAGATACCAGTCGGCCATGTGATAGATGACCTTAAGGGTCCATGGGAGTGAGGCGGAGGCTCAGGGGGGAGCTCGGAGGGAGGCTCGGGGGTGTGCTCGAGAGTGCCTTCCATTGCAACGAAGGAAAGTTGATAGGCGTGATGAGTGTCGATTTAAGCGAAAGATAGCGACGTTTCGCGGAGCCATTCGGGACGATAGCCTGGTTGCTTTAATGGTTGCTCTTGGACTCCTCGGTTGATGCGCAAGAATTGCACCATGTGGTACTGACTCTGAACCTAAGACGGTTGCCAGGTATATATACCTACATATAGTTGTCGATAACAAAGAACGAAGATCTGGAGATAAGAAGGTTCTGGTGATTGCCAAACCGTTGTCAACGGGAAATGCTGGCCAAATCGAGAAACGGGGGCCTGCAGCACAAGGGCAAAGGGAAAATGCAGATCGATGGTCCAGGCGGTATATGCTTGCACAGACCACAACAGAATCTTCTCTAACGAACAACTCAGCGATGCAGACAAGCCAAATAGAATAAACCGAATAACAAGTGGAAAGCAAAGTAACAAAGCAAAGTAAAGCGCCGGAGAAACGAGCACAGGTTTCCAGCGTTTTACGGCATTCAGCTTTCCCTCAACATCTCCAACAAGTCAGTTACCAAATCCATCCACCTAAAGCGAATTCTCTTTCCATCCTCCAATCCCAGGCAAAAGGGACGGCGCTAGGAACCTCCATGTCGGAGACAGTTTGCGGGTCAAAGCCATGCTCGTCGTGGTCGTAGTCGACGTCGGACGCTTCTAGTATGGGGCCATGGAGGAAGAATGTGGCTTTTTTCAGACCCTACAGGTAGGTTGCTGTCTTCATCAGGGGTAAGGTCTACCTGTAAAGGTATGGTTGTGCTGGGATCCATGTCTATGTCGTTGAAGGTTGACTCCGGGAAGCGCAAGTACCGGCAGTAGTCCTTCATCCTGTACTGGTCCATGTAATCGGATGAGGGGTCGTCGAGGAAGAGGTAGATGGTGGTTTGGCTCAAATAGTTCTTGGTGAAGTGCATGTGCCTTTCGATGAGCCGTTTCTGGGATTTGAGGAGTGGTTCCCCGCGGAGGGGTCCCCCGATCTCACAGAGGCGGTCTGTAGAGGTATCGATGGTGGACTTGCTTGTGACTGATTGGAATGCTTCGATGCCGGGATGACAAGGGGCGAGCATGTCTTCGATGAAGTGGTCGAGAACCTCTCGCACGAGTTCCATGGGAAAGGACTGCCAAGTTGCTGAAAGCTCTTCCTCGAGGTGTGAATGCATTGAGAATCTTGATGGTGATTGACTGGTGTGAGGTAATCCTTCCCTATGATGTTCATTCGTCATCGTATGCACAGGAGGCAAGTGGTGATTGATGAGAGAGTTTGGAAAATGTTAAGAGTAACAGTGTAAAAGGGATGAACATCGTGAAGTATTGGTATAGCCAAGAACGTTCTCATGGAGATAGAAATGTTGGTGCGGTGGATGCCGACTTGGTCGCCCAAGTTTGTTTGCCTGGAATGTGGAACTTGACGGGAAGCAATAACGCCAACGTGCTACTAGTCTCCGCTCCCAAGGCAGCAATGTGTCGATGCATGTACCTTAGAAGCACCAGGCAACAACATCACCAGTGCCAGTCCCGTCCCCGATGCTGGGGATTGAACCATACCTCTAATGACCCCTGTGGCACCGTAGAATCAGAGTCAGACCCATCATCTATCCTCAATAGCTCCAGAATGCGGGTGAACACAATCGTTATCAACTTCTTCCAAGGATACCTTATGCAATCCCCGTCGTCTAAAACCTCCCAGTCTTCCAGACGCAGTGTAGTAGAATCGATAGAGGTAGCCATTCTATCCAAACCCATAATACGAAGAGGATACCACTCAGTTTTGTTGGCGTTGATGGACTTGTTCCAAGTAGAAAGGAGCAAAGCGCGGGGATAGTACTCCTCGTTTGCCGCTTGGAGAAAGAAGGTGACCTTTTCAGACTCAGGATCACCGTTGTCGTTAGGCGTGAGATGAGGATCCGGTAAGAACCCTAAGATGTCGGAAAATCTGTGGGCGTGCTTGTCAGAAAATCTGTGGGCGTGCTTGTAAAGTACCAACGAAGAGGCGCTCGAGTCCTCCTTGGGCCTCGGGGTATATCTGAATTTGCACGTTGTTGAGCCAGTGATCATGAAAATGACGCTCAATAAGGAGCTTCTGGGATCTGAAGAGGTCATCCCGTCGGAAGTTGAACCAAGCATCCTCGAGGATAGCAGCAACTGTAGTGGTATATGTAGATTAGATGTCGGAAGCTCGGCAGGAGGTAAGGAGGTCTTTGATGAAGTGGTCGAGGATTTGTTGGACGAGTTCGATGGGGAGGAGTTGCCAGATTGACGAAAGTTCCAGTCCGTCCGACAAGCTCGTGTGCGGAGATGCAAGGGGCTGAGTGGACTGAGGTGAAGGTTCCATGTCGTTCGCAATTGCGAGGAAGAAAAGGATTTGAGAGATGGACAAAAACGACCAAGAAGGTTGGAGAGCAGAAGGGAAAAAAAGAGCAGAAGAGAAAAAGAGCAGAAGAGAAAAAGAGCAGAAGAGAAAAAAGAGCAGAAGAGAAAATAACATCAATGAAGGGAACGGAGCAGATACCTCGTGCGATAAATACCTCTAGGTACTTAGCCGTCATGATGACGTGTTCTCACGAGAAAGGCTGCCGCCTGGCATGCAAGCCACCACTCCCCCTTGTACATTCGTTGCAACCGTCCCATATTCCTACGCAATGGCTTCCATACGCACCCTCACAGCCTCCCTATGCCCGTTTTCCTCCCCTGGTGACTCTCTTTCATCCTCACCATCCTGGAAGTCCCCTCCCTAATAGTTCCTGTCAATTCCCTCAATCCAGCCCATCGCGATCATCATCCCAATCATCCCCATCCTCGCTCACTTCCATTCCCGGTTCCGGAACGTAATTGTACCCGTTATACGATCCGAACTTCGACAAGAACTTGCTCATCAGCTTTTTCCAGTTGAACTGCACCCGCCGACCATCGTCCAACACCTCCAGACCCTTCAGGACGACTTCGCTTTCGCTTGTCCACAAATCATCCTCGGGTCCCGACTCAAGAGTCTGCTCCTTGTTGCGAAACGCTAGGCCGAGTCGTTCAGTCTTCCCCTTCAACACCTTCCCCCACGAGTTCTCAACACGAGGTAGAATCTCCGGTACATTGCCAAATTCTCGCTTCGACGTCTCTCCGTACGAGTTTGCGCGAGCTGACCGCACCGGACCCCGTAGAAAGAACGTGACCTTCTCCTCTGCGTCCGCATCACCATCCCCGCCCTCCTTGACTTTCACTTCCGGCAGCGTGGTTGCAAGATCCTTTCCCTCGGGGCAGGAGAGATACCGACAGTACAACATCCTCCGCGAGGTACTGTACATGTTTGGGTCCAGGTACAGGTAAATCGTGATCCTGCTGAGCAAGTGGTCGCGGTAGTGGCGCTCAATGCGACGCTTCTGGCCGCTGAAAACCGGGATGTGGCGGTACTTCATCCATGGGTCCAACAGCTGGGGTAGTTCGCCATTGTCGATCTCGTCCTCGGAGATCCAGTCCATGTCATGATCGCCGAGGAGGTCGTCGACGAAATGGTTCAGGACTTCCTGGATGAGTTCGGATGGAAGCTTCCTCCAGAGTTATGGTGACAGTTGCGTTGCGGTCGACATTGTTGTGTATGCGAACTGAACTGAAGAGTTCGTAAAACTGGAAGTGCACGAAGCCCTTTCAGGCCTGGCGCTGGGCGCCGCTGGAGCGCCACAGGGTAGGGTTAGGGTCCAAGACATCATCAGGCTCGGGTCTCGATACCTTACAAGTACCTACAGGTAGTCAATACGCAGTGAAAGGCACAGCCAGTTTCTTTTCCCAAGATTGATGTATTTACCAGGCATACGAGCGCAATCACGGCGCTCGATGCACCCACCAACTACGCCAACCATCAACTTGATCCTCCTCCATTTGTGCCGCAAACGTCTCGAGGTACACATCCACCAACTCTTTCCACTTGAACCGAATGCGATGCCCATCATCCAACACTTGCAACCCAGGCACCTCGACTTCCTCCATACGCAAAACAAACACGTCGTGGTCGGGGGTGTAGTCAAATTCGTCGGTGGAATCCGGACGAACACCGATCTCAAGTCTGTGAAGCTCGTAACTTTCGGTGATCCGTTCCCAAGCCTCAGCCGCTGCGCCGGGCAGCTCTGGCTCCTCATCCTCGCCCATTATCTTCGGTAACAGCATCCAGGCACATCGCTCGTTGAGGCGAGGGCCGTCTACCCGGTATACTGGTCCGTGAAGGTTAAAAGGTTGCCCATTCAGAGTCCGAGTCCGGCCCACCGTCGTGGTCGTGGCCAGCGCTTTGTGAGACATCGGGCGGCATTGTAGGATAGATATATTCCGCCGTGTCGGCCGGTCCCTCCCATACAAAGAGACACCACACAACAGGCAGATACCGACAGAAATGCGTCTGATTCACGTCTTCCTCCTCCACGTGAAGGTAAAATGTCATGGCGTTCAACCAGACGTCACGGAAGTGCCGCTCAATCCGTTTTCTCTGATGCTTGAACAGGCTGTCGTGACGCCACTTTCGCCAAAGGCGAACCAGGCCATTGGCGTAGCGGTCTAGGTCCGCGGCCCGACTCTTTCCTTCTTCGTCGGACTTTACCGGGCCGGCGAGGATGGGAATGCCGCTTGAGGTGGAGGAGAGGAGGTCGTCGATGAAGTAGGCGAGAACTCCTTGGACGAGCTCGATGGGGAGTTTTCTCCAAAGAGGGGAGAGTTCCTCCGGGGTGGTCGTCATTGTGGCAGCTGGACCTGGCTAGGTTGACCGAAGGTGTAGAAAAGTTATCAAGTGGAAGAAGGGCCGAGAGAACTTGAGGAAGGAAGATATAAAGAGGAATGCGCGTCCATGCGATTAGCGCCACAACTTGAATTGCCTGTACTAGAGTATTGTGGTTTAGTTCCGCTCTAGCGAAAGGTAGGCAACAAGCAGTCAAGCACCATGCGAGTTAGCCCCTGGTCAAGCTTCTAGGCAACATTCGACTTACAGCAACTTGTCTCCACATGGTGAAGTCTTTCACTGCTACACCAGACGTTCTTCAAACCAAAACCCATGCCTTCCCTAGACAATGTCATATCAGTCATCATCAAATCCATGATAGTCCTATAAGCCGCGGGGAGCCCAGGTTTCGTCCTCCATGATGGTCTTGATGCTTGCAGAGTGCATCAAAAAGTCAGTCATCAAACGTTTCCACCTGAATTGGATCCGGCGTCCCTCTTCAAAAACTTCTAACCCAGCCGCTTCGAGGCCCACAATCCAGGAGCAAAAGATGTCTGAAGTTCGCCAAAGCTGAAATCGATCACCGGGCATACAAAGGCCTACACCGAACCAAACCGCTTTATCTCCTTCTCCATGATTGTCGAATATTTCTTCCCAAGCTCGAGAAACAAGGGTGGGAAGTGGAGGGTCGTCCACCGATTCATCGACTTCGTACAGGTAGACTGTGGGTTCTATATATTCCTCTGCCATAACAGGCCCATGTAGATAAAAGGTAACTGTTTCGGAATCTGAGTCGCGGTGCTCGCCCTGCTCCTCTGTAAAGGTACCTTGAAGAATGTCATTGGTGTCTTTGACGATAATATCAGAGAAGGGAAAATATCGACAGTAGCAAGACAATGCCTGGGTGGTAAAGTTCGGATGATCCAATTCCAAATAAAGGGTCATATTTGTGAGCCAGCGGTCTCGAAAGTGCCGTTCGAGGCGCCGCCTCTGGGATTTGAAGAGCCTGTCTTGGCGGAAGGTTTGCCAGTATCGATACACCCGGCCAGGAAACCCGGGGTCAAGCATTTGCCCATCGGCATGGTCGTCCCCGTAGTCGCAGGAGGCAATGACATCGTCAGTAAAGTGGTTAATGATTTCCTGTACCAGATCGTACGGCAAGGAGCGCCATATGGGCGACAGATCCGCGGTGTTTGCCATTGCGGGGTAATGAAGTCAAGCGCTGTTGCAGACAGCTTTCCACCGGCGATGCGAATTGCGAGGTACGAGAGAGACCGGAGAAGAAAGGAAAGATTGCGGTCAAGTAGCTGGCACCTCAGACCTCTACATTTTATAGCTTGTTGTACCGCATGGCGCCCCTCGTGGTTACCCGGGAAACCTTCCACAACAAAGCTCGGCGTGAGTCCAGCTTCACTTCCTTGTAGGCGCATGGACGAGTCGGGATTACCCCATCTCTCCAAATATCCACCGCGCTAGTCCGTATCAGGTATAACAATTTGACCCTTTTCCGTTCCCCAGCGAACTTCCCGCTGTCTCAAAGTCATGGAACTTCTAGAAACCTAACCTGATCATTTATTGAACTACACTCGTGCACAGTTGTCTTTCGTCTCCAGTATTGCTATCACTCACTTCAGTCACTCTTTTTGGAAGTCAGCCACATATCATTTTCAAACCCACACAAGCGAGCGACATCTACCACCACCAATAATACCACTAATCTGCAATGCAAACGCACAGCCATGATCACAACGCCCCCCCGCTGTCAATGAGACGGAAACCGGTACCTGACGCAACGCCCACAACACCACATGCAACTCACCAACGGCCACAAGCATATGCACCATTTACACCACAACAACATCCATACCTGGACCCCCCACCTCCTTATTCCGGACCAACACAAGGACAAGGCCAAAGTCCAGGGCCAGCATTCGAACTCATTGACCTTATAGACGATTATCTAGACGACTTTGACGATGGTCCCGCTCAAAGTCTCACAGCTGGTCCAGGATCCCACCTTCGTCAACTCTCTGCTGTTCCCCGGCCTATCTCATTCCACAAAGAGCAAACCACAGTTAGTTCGACACGGGAGGTAGTGGCTGACGATGAAAAGCCGCCTCTTCTTCCACCAAAAGCTCCAGAAAGACAACAAAGACCTGGTACACCCAATGAACAGGGGGCCCAACAAACATTCCAGGCGTATCGGCCCTCGGCGGAAAAACACCCTCCGTTGCTTGAATTGGGAGAGCAAGCATTGGGAAGGCCGGCGAGTAGCGGGGCTAGAGGTAGTGAGACGCCGAGGCATGAACATGCGGGTGTTCTGCAACCGGGAGGAGGGAGGGGGTTATCTTCGCCTTTTCACGGCCGACCTCAAACTACTCAAGATGCACATCATGGCTACGGACATTACCAGCATTACCAGCAGCAGCATCAAGGACATGGGTATGCTTATGGCAATGGAGGACACCACCGGCCTACGATGCTGGATATCCCCTCCGAAAGACAACCTCATGGGAACTATCACGACCATCAAACACAGCAGCACTCCCGCAACCACAACAATCTCAAAGTGCAAACCAGCATGCCCGCCCTCCGACCTGGTCCTCCCCTCCCATCCCCGAGCCATCTCTCTCCATATCCGACCCCTTCTCCGTTAGCGTATGCATCCGGGCCTCCTTCCGCGGCGCCCCGAAGCCCAAGCATCCCGGTTCCTGCACTCCCTCCACGGGCATCGACTACCGGACATGGTGGAAGATTTGGACCTCCTCCTGGGCCTGGGGGACAGTACCACGGGCAACAACCGCACACTCCCTTGACGCCTCACTCGCCGTACCCGCCTTCTTACAACACGACCGCTGGCAGCCCGAATCGAAACGGAAGTGCTGTGCCCAGTCCCGGACCGTCCGGAGGTCCCGGAACTTTCGGATCGGAACAAGGACCCACCTGGAACGGAGAAGGCGGAGCGGGACCCACTTATAACAGCCCGGGCCTTCCCGGACCTCCAGCGGGTCCTCCACCCCGCGCTGTGACGACGACTGCAGCAATCCCTTTCCCTCCTCCTCCTCCGCAGCCTTTGGGTCTCCCCGGGCAGCATCCTCACCCCCAACTCGCCCAGCCATTTCCCCCTCCTCCTCCTCCACCACAACGTTCTCCCGAGCGTCCGCAACCCCACCACGCGGCAACTTTCGCCCTAGCCAAACCACAACAACCCCCGCACCCCCAACTCCACCACTCGCAATCACTACCACAGCTCCAACAATCCCCCAAAAAGGAACCCCAAGAAAGCAAAGGCTTCTGGTCCACCGCCCTCTCCGAAACGGCCTACCTCGCCTCAGGCCTCATCTCCCACCCCTTCGAGTCCACCAAGCACTACACCATCCTGCGGCACTCGCCCTCGGTGATCTGGCACCGTGGCCCCAAAACGACCGTTACTATCTCCATCTTTTCGAGTCCCAAGTACCCGCTTCCTGCGTTACCTTCTTTGCCGCCTGCTGCTGGTGTCGCTGGAGTCAGTTCCGACACGGCTGGACATGGATGGTCGTTGTGGATTCAGCAGAGAGGATTTTCGGGGGACAGTGGGATGAAGATCAAGAATTGGCTGGGGGGGAGGGAAGATTGGGTGTGCGTGACGCCCGCTAGTAAGGTGTTGGCTGAAGAGCTCGAAAGTGGAAGCGCGAGTAAGAAGGGAGGACAAGGATTGCTAGGGCTAGGCGGAGCGACGGAGGAGAGGGGGTGGAAGCGGGATATCAAGCGGACGGAGAAGAAGCTGAGGAAGGAGTTTGGAGAGAAGAAGGGGCATGTGGCGAGACTGACGGCCGTGGTGAGGGTGCCGGAGGGATGTGAGGATGGGTATTTTCGGGTTCATCTTTGCCTCAACGGGGATGCGGAGAAAGAGGAGGAAAAAAAGAAGAAGAGAGAGGCAAAGGGTGGGAAGGAGAAGACCGAAACGAAAGATCCTCAGTCTGTCCTGGAAGAGCAGAGAAAGAAGATGAAGGTGTTGTGCTCCAGCCCGATCTTTAGGTTGGCATCCACATCCACCGACCCTTCGTCCATCCGCGGCGCTTCCCTCTCTACCATGCCCTTGGAAATGGGCATCTCGCTCACTTCCGTTATCGCCTCCCAGGTCATCTCTTCCAAGATTGCTCCGATCAAGGACCAGATTACTAACCGCATCGACCCTATTCGCGCGCATCCTATCGTTGAGGAGCTGGGGATTATGGCGACGGAGGAAGTCAAGGCGGCGAGAGAGGAGGCAGAGGAGGAGGAGCAAGAGCGGCTGAGGGAGCTGTTTGGTGCTATGTGTGTTGCTGGTGGTGTCGGTGCTGGTGTGGCCGCGGCGAGAGGTTTGGAAGGGGGTGGGAACGGCGTTGGGGTTGGGGTGTCGGGCGTGGTTGGGCCCGATGAAGGACCGTTAGCTCCCTTGCCGATTCGCTTCGGCGGCAACGTCATCCCGGGAACGGGAAGAAGCAAAGCGGAAATGGGCTTCCCAACGGCTAACCTCAAAGACCTCCCGGAGGAAATCAAGCACCACTTCAAGGGCGTCTACTCCGGCTACGCTCGCATCGTTCCCGGTAAGGGAGGGCCGATGGGTCCCGAAGGCCCAACGGAGGTCTGGTACAAGGCCATCATTTCCTCCGGCCCGGTGCCGTACGCGAAGAAAACAGCTGTCATCGTGGAACAACAGACCACGGTATACTTCATAACGGACTTCGGCGCAGGCGTGACCTTCTTCGGAAGCAAGGTTGAGGTACTTGTCATGGGCTTTCTGCATCCAGTGTTGGACTATCGCGAGACTAGCCCGCAGTACCGCCTCGACACCGCCCACCAAGATGTCGTCCTCGCCCTAGCCAGTCTCAAGCGGCCGAATTGGGCCGCACAATCCACCCTAGCAAAAATGGAAACAGCTGAAGCAAACGTAGACGGGGAAAGGGGGCTAATAGGAGGATTTAAGAAGACCAAGGTGGTGGAAAAGGGACAAGAAGTAAAAGAGAAGATATTCGAGGCCAAGAAAAAGGTGGCGAAGCAGATTGATCGGATACCGGTGCATATAGTGGGAATTAGAAAGGATGATGGGAAGGCGAGGGATCGGTATTATGGAACAGGCGGGTATTGGATTCCCAGGTGTTAAGGCGTTGGATTCACGGACGTGATAATTGAAAAGTAACTAGTAATGTATTGCTCCAAGGTAGATGATAGTAGAAGGCTAGGTATCGAACGAAGCGAGGACGCCTCCCCGGGCTGGCCGCCGGAGAACAATGATATCAAAAAAGAATCGTTTAACCTACATAAGTCAACCCCAAAGACACCCATACCCCATCAGTGCTGTCATGTTCCATGCCGATACTCAATGCTGTCCTGGAATCCCCGCCAGAATGTCATCGAAAGTCGTGGCTCTCTGCCTCCTCCTTGTGCCCGGCTGGGGAGTCCGATTCCAATCCGTCTGCGGTTGAGTCCGCGGTCGCGCACTAACCGTCGCCGAACGATATACCCTAGACCCGTTCGCATTCCAACCACTACTTCCGCTTCCAGTGCCCGGGGTCACGTCGTAATCTGGATCGTCTTCTTTGCGCTTGCCTGTTAGGAAGCGGGAGAGGCGGGAGAGGGTTCCAGCTCGCTTCAGCTTTGAGCTCCCCTCTTGTTGTGGTGGTGATGGCCGGGGGTCCCAACTGGGGACGGAGCCGGTGCGGGTTGTGCGGGTTGTGCTGGAGCGGGAGACGGTTTCTTTCTCCGAGTAGCGGTGACCGTCACGCTCTTTCTTGGTAATTTTCCTCTCCAAGCCCTTCTCGTCGCCGTATCCGGCATCTCCCCTTTCCCTCCGGCTCTCCCTCCGACTGGGCCTCCTATCCGGCTTCTCCCTGACATTAGCAATTCGATCCATCACCGAGTCCACCCTCTTCCTCGTGCTGTATCCTCTCTTGGGCTTCTCATCACCCTCTCGTACCGCGTTATGGTCACCGAAAGGATCGTGATCCGGCCCTTCTTCGAGAACGTAGCCAGGTTCCGTACCGTCGATCTCTGGAACCTCGACGCTGGGTAATGGTGTCGGGGGCTTGACAGGGAAGAGCTTGCCGTAGGTGGCGCCGGGTGCGCCCTCCCATATGGTCCCGTCGGTGTTGTCGCGGTAGGTGTAGACCTGGGTGTCGGCGTCGTAGCCTATGCGGGTCATGTTCTCGGGCAGACGCTCGGCGTCTGTGTCGAGATCTTTCCAGCGGCCCATTGCGACTCGATGATTTGTTGCGGTGGTGGTGTAAAGAGACTGGAGGGTTGGTTGGGCAAAGTGTGTGTGTTGAGATGTGGGTTTGTCGTAGGATATGATTCTGCTCAGGTCGGTGGTCGGTGAGAAGCTTGGGATGTGGTATGGGAGATTTAGAGGAGATGTTGGTGGTGTTGGTGGTGGCGTCGATGTTGTGGTGGACAATCTGGATGGTGTAGAGCAGTTGTCGGATGACGATGACGATGCGGATGCGGATTCTCGTAGTAGGAGAGAGGTCGCCGTGGTGAGCAATTAGATGCGATTCGATGCTAGGGGATTTGGTGTTTCGAAACAATTTGGAGTTGATGATGTTTGTTGTGTTGTTCTGACGGATGTTTCTTTCCAGGGTCGTCAGGGTCCTCAGAGTGGATGCAGGGAGGAGCTTGGACGCCGTGCAGGTCGGACGATGATGTCACCTTTTGCTTGTGTGTTGCCCCTGGCCAGCGACGGATTGGGTTGGAATGTCAACGACCACGTCAAGGTGTTTGTTTGCTCAGTCTGTTTCGCCTTGATGGCTACGCTCTTCGACGGATGTCTTTAGAAGAAAATGTAGGAAAAGAAGTGTTTGGGTCTTTGTAGGAGTTGCGCATGAAGTGATGGACAGAGGGAAAACTGGGGAAGGACAGCGATGTTATGGATTATCACACCCTCCAAGCCTCCATGATCAACGACTTGTGCGCCGCTCATTGGACACGCCCGTAAGCCCGAAACGGATTGACAACTGACAAGCGTAAACACGAGAAGACCAGCCTCACTGGAAAAACTGGCTCAGCTGTTCACTGCCCTGTACGGACCGGCAAACATCAGGGGCAGCTGCAGAGGACAGGAGTGAGTAACACGTCACTTCCGTTCCCGCCATGTCATCAAGGTCAAACATAGCGACGTGACGGGCGGCTTGAATCCATGAGTAACATTACATCCCACTTCATTTTAGCCGTTGACTTATTACACTATTAACATCATACGCAGCACAGTTCCTCGCACCAGCTGCAAATAACAGAGCAACCTCCTCCGGGTACCCAAAACCACAACCACACAACCACATCCTCCATCCGCCTAGTAGATGCCAGGGACAATTCTCCACTTGACAAGCTTCTTGTACTTTTCCCAATCCTCGCCATACTTTTTGGAGCACTTCTCGTCATCTCTGAGATCGCGGTGGATCAAGAGAATGGCAAAGTAGAGGATGTAGAAGTAAGTGAAAACCATACCCCAGCCCCTCGCCTCGCCTTGGACAACCTCGCGCCCGTCAAGCATGGTAATCGCACCAGGAGCCCCGCTGCCAGCGCTCAAGATCTGGTAGCCAGCAATGCCGGTCGGGAGAGAGTAAGGCCAGCTCTGAAGCCAGTCACCGGCATAGTTGATGTGACGAGCGATGCCCCACCATCCCGAGGTAATGAGTCTCGATCCAGTCTTGGTCTGGAGGTAGGTAAGGTGCTTAACGCTGGAATCCTCAGGATTCCTGCGGAAGTTGTTCTTCTGCGAGTTGGACAGGCGGAAGATGCTATAACCAGCAGCCAGGACGGCACCAACAGCAATCAAGCCGAAAGCGCCAAGCTGCTGAGGATGGACGGCAAGGTAGCGTGTCTGAGTCGAGTACATGAACGGCAGCCAAACGACATCTCCGAAGCTCAACATGAACCCGAAGCCGTCAGTAGTGATATCCATGGTAGTCAAGACCGCTGGTTCCATGTAAATGCCGTCCAAAACGTAGACAGCCTGGATGGCGGTGATGAAGAGGATCGAATCGGTAACATAGCCGTACAAACGGTATTGCTTGGCGATGAAGGCGCAGTTGAGAATGATCCACCCCAAGAGACCGGGGCGCATTTCCATGAATTCCTTGATGTCCACTTCGCCGATGAGGGGCAGAGTGATGCGTGGATTGAGCTCGCGACCAATATAGAAATCGTAGATGAGGGAGCCGGTGGCACCGCCTGCTGCCAACTCGCGCATGTCCTTGTTGCCGGGCTTGACGTCAAAGCTGCGGACGTAGACGAAGATGGCGAGCGCGGAAGCGACGAGGATGTTGGCGCTGATGATCTGCGCAAAGTTGTCGGAGATGAAAGTCCAAACAGGGAACTCGGCGCCCTGAGCAATGGTGCCGGCAGCCAGGATGGCCAAGGTGCACATGGCCGAGTTGAAAGCGTTCAGCTTGTACTTGAGCCGACCGCCGGTGCTCAGCTCGGTTCCCTCGACGTGGTGGCCGGGGAGGATGCGGTATTGAACGAGCGAGAGGGTGTAGTAACCCAGAGTCCAGAGCGTGGCGGACCACGAGAAGAGCCCGAAGACGCCATTTTCAGGCCAGCCAATTTCGCGCTTGAGCTGGGCAAGGTCGAGGGACTTGGGGTGGAGGAGCGAGGGCGCAGGGCAGCCGGAGATGTCGTTGCAGAAAAGGTTGAAGACGTGGACGAGAATGGGGAGGCCAAATGTTATGACGAAGGCGCCGATGCTGTTGTCAAGCTTGTTAGCTGAGCGCGTCCTGGACCATGTTGTCGCCAAGTCATGATAGGGGTTCAGGGGGTTTGTTTTGGTAACTTACGGGCCGCCAAATTCGTAGTGCTGCTGGCGCGGCGCAACCTCCTTCTTTGCGACAGCTTGCTTCTGTTTCCCGGCCATGGTTATGATGGCTGTGTTGCTGTAGACGACAACAACACGAAAGCCGGGAGAGGAGAAAGCTCCCTACTTAAGTGTTCAGCTGTGGATGCTGTCGTGGGACAACTGGCAGCCAAACAAAATAATGTCCAGAAAGGGTCTGGTTCAGACGAAGGAAAGGAGCTTGGGCCAATTGACTGCTTCAATTGCCGGCCAGTGGAGCCAATCGTGCCAGACGGGTCCCTGCTTTCCGGGTGGGCTCTCCAGCGTTGGCTTCTTGGCGTTGGTTGGTCTGTGCTCGAAGTACCTGTTCACCCGATGTCTTCGGATCGGTACTTTGTCTTGAAATGGCGTATTCTCGTATCCAGTCTCCTTCGCAACTGGAGGCTCTGATCGGGCTGCTGAGTATCCGAGAAAGGAGAAATGATACGATTCCATAGGTTGAGCAGGTACTATCTATCTTGACTGCTCTTCATGTCAAATTCTCCTACCTGTTCGAGCAGCAATGTACCTTGGCGAGGTAAATCCAGAATTGTGGATGTACCCCTGATCTTCCCGGTCCAAGATGGACCAATCAAGCGTGGGTGTGGGCCTTGCTGGCCACTCAAAGACAGGGCAGCCTTTCCTCGAATGCGGTTTAACGAAATCGTGTCAAGTGAGGTCAGTGCAGATTTCCAAGTTCCAGTGACGAAGCCATCAAACCAACAATTCCACCACGACAAACGACGCAAGTCCATCATTGCCATTTCTTACCACGAATTGATCTACACTTTGCGATACTATCAACAGTTTCCCTACCGCACATCTTCCGACCCCGCGACTCGATCAGCACTCGGCGTCAGATCCAATCCTTGGTCGATCCAAGCCCACTGCATGCAATAACCCCTCCTGACGCCGCTGTCACAAGTCACAACCACAACCATACGAGCGAGCGCCACCGAGCGCCTTGCCCATTTCTATACCTCCGATCTCGTTCCATCACCAATCCCGATCCCAATCCCAATTCACCAAAATGCATCCTCCAAGTCCCAACCAGCTCCTATCGAGCCTAGTCGCCCTCTGCGCCCTGACCGGTGCTGCCCACGCCTCCGATGACGATTCCTCCTCCCCATCGCCCTCCCCATCAACAACTACCACCACAACCTCCACCGTAACACCCTGCGTTGCCACCTCCACCAACGGCGCCTTCTACGATCTCCGCCCCGACATCGCCGTCATCCCCGAAAAGGACGTCAAGCTTGCCCGGGGCACGCACACAAAAGACTATCTTGCCCGAGGATACGATTACGGATACAACATCACGCTGAACATATGCGCCCCAGTCGTGAAAGGCGTGGAGGATGTGGTGGGACTGACGAGCGAGGGATGGAGCAAGGTCGGCGCGTGGTATGAGAAGGGTGGAAAGGTATACAGCCTAGGCCAGGAGTCGGGAGCATTGACGCCGAGAGGAAGGAAGCTGGTGTTGCAGTATACAGGAGGGTCGCCGTGTGAAGACAAGGACGACAAACGGAAACGAAGCAGCGGTGTTCACCAAGGCGCCGCGTACAGCAAATATTCCGACGGCGAAGACGAAGACCGTGACGACGACCAGACCGATTCCGACTCCGACAAGAAAAACAGCAACACATCCAAAGAGAAAATCCGCCGCAAGTCCGCAACCATCTCCTTCCTCTGCGACCGCTCCCCCGACAACCCCACCGCTGTCTCCTTCGTCGGCACCGACCCAGACGAATGCTCATACTTTTTCGAGGTCCGCTCGCAACACGCTTGTGCTGGAGCTGAGCCACATAAACCGGGCTCTGTCGGACCAGGAGGAGTGTTTGCCATCATCTTCTTCATTGCCCTGGCGGTGTACGTTATTGGTGGTATTTTCTACCAACGCACCGTGGTAAAGCAGAGAGGGTGGAGGCAGTTGCCCAATTACACTCTTTGGGCCGGTATCTGGAGCTTTCTCAAGGTATGGAGTGCTATTTCCTCTTGGTTCGGTTCTTCTGGGCGGGTGAGGGATCGGAAAGCGATGGGCATGGTTTAGTATGGAGAAGGATCAAGTGCCAAGGCGTGAACTGGTGAGGGAGCAGAAGCCGGCTTTGGTTGATACCTTGTACGGGTCGACGATGCTAACTGTTGGTTGCACAGGACACCTTCATCATCCTCACTTCGTCCTGCGCTCGCTTCCTGCCTATGCGTCGGGGGTACCGATCGTTGAACTCGTCCTCTCGTGGCCGATACGGGAACAACGACGACGAGAACCGGTTGATTGATCAGCTGGATGAGGAGTGGGATGATTAATCTAGAAGTGGTCTTTGTTGTAGAGATGGAATAGGTATGCTTAGGGTGCCTTTCTTCTTTCCGAGGCAGGTCCTTTTTTGACCTGTCTGTTGTACATTTATCCACGACATCATTAGGCCGGCGTCCGGTGGTGTTGGGAAACCCAAAAAGCCCTCGGTTTTCGAGGCACAGCGGATAGTTCTTGGTTATAGACTTTTGTATATCTTTTCCCATCCCAGTATCCCGTCCGCTGCAGATATTATGGGACAGAGATTTTGCTGCTTTGTCATGAACACCCCTCATTGCAAGGTCTCATGCCCTGCAATCCGGTTGCTTGAACCGGAATCACGATCTTAGTGCTGGCTTTCTTCCCTTCACCACAGCGCTATGTACGCATCTCGGCACATCCAGCTATCGACACACCCATGCTGCTAGGCGCATTGAAGATCTCGGATCGCAAGCCTGCAATCCCGCTAGAAAGCTGTGGTGGTGTTTCTGGGAAGTGGAATACTGTTTCTGTTTCAGGTTCCGTTGACAGGATGTTCGGGACAGAAGTGATAGTCAGGGGGGCGAGGTCGTATTGAAGCTTACCCCGGAATCAAACGCTCTACCACGACGACAACTCTCCATTTAGCATCAAATGCCAACCAGACATTGTACAGATCATTCTTCAACATCTTCGAGCATTTGATGAATCTTGACAACCAGGTTCAAGATCTTAAGTTTCCACGTCTTGAATTACCACATTCCACCTCTACGGTGGCCGTATCAGTACCAAAAACTCGCGGTTAAACGTCACCCTTCAATTCTTGGCAGCCGCCCACCGACTACTCCCAAATTGTCAACGGCACACCATCCGCCGTTTCCCGGTTTCCGGGACCGTGGCTTACCATCCCCAGACATTCCCCCACGGCACTGTCACTCCGTCTTGCCGAATTCGCGATGCCAAGTAGATTAACCGCTCCATTTAAGTCCAGTCACGTTCATCCAAGCCCACCAATCCAGCAATCATCTTCCCGAAAATTCGTCAGCAAAGACTGAAACATCGCCGCACCGCGTTCCCGGTCGAGCCTCTTTGCGTTCCATTTGTGTGGGGTTACGGCACCTACAGCAGGCTTCGGACGTCACGAGGACCCCCTGCTTGCCGCTCCGAAGAGGATGAGGATGGATGCCCGAAGCAAGATCATGGAAATGACAGGACGAGTGCTCGATGCGGACGGGACTTGGGCTCATGCTCCGGGGTTGGAACCCGGTTTGGTGGACTGATAGTGTCGTATCGCCGATCGAGTCCTTGGTCAAGTCCCAACAATCACAGACAAGATATAAATCTCAACCACACGCATAGGACATCCTCTTTCTCTCCTTCCAGGTCGCTCAAGACATCCCCTACGTCTCAACCACACACCAGCCCAACATGCGGTCCACTCTCCTCACCGGCCTCATCGCCGGCCTGCTCTCTCAACAAGCCGCCGCCCACGCCACCTTCCAAGCCCTCTGGGTCGACGGCGCCGATTATGGCTCGCAATGCGCTCGTGTTCCTCCTTCCAACTCTCCCGTCACCGATGTGACTAGCACAGCTATGAGGTGTAACGCTGGTACTTCACCTGTTGCGAAGAAGTGCCCTGTCAAGGCGGGAAGCACAGTGACTGTTGAGATGCATCAGGTTTGCTCCCCTTTTCCTTCTCTCATCAACCACCGTCTTTCGCCCCTGATGACCTTCCATGCGGAGCTGGTCCTCAAAGGATGTCGTCTTCCTCCCTACCTGTTTCTTTCCTCCTCTCCCTCCCTTTCCTCTTCCCACCCTTGCCCACACTAACACATGACCAGCAACCCAACGACCGCTCTTGCGCCTCTGAAGCCATCGGCGGCGCCCACTACGGTCCCGTCCTCGTGTACATGTCCAAGGTCTCCGACGCCGCCTCCGCCGACGGTTCCTCCGGCTGGTTCAAGATCTTCGAGGACACCTGGGCCAAGAACCCCTCCGGCGCCTCCGGTGACGACGACTTCTGGGGCGTCAAGGACCTCAACTCGTGCTGCGGCAAGATGCAGGTTAAGATCCCCTCGGACATCCCCGCGGGCGACTATCTCCTCCGTGCGGAGGTCATTGCCCTTCATACGGCTGGCAGTGCGGGAGGCGCGCAGTTGTACATGACTTGCTACCAGATCTCTGTTTCCGGCGGTGGTTCCGCTAGCCCGGCGACCGTTAGCTTCCCTGGCGCCTACAAGAGCTCCGACGCTGGTATTCTTGTCAACATCCACAGTGCCATGAGCACCTACGTTGCCCCCGGACCGGCTGTGTACTCGGGCGGAAGCACCAAGAAGGCGGGAAGTGGCTGCGTTGGCTGCGAGTCTACTTGCAAGGTTGGCTCCGGCCCGACTGGAACTGCTTCTGCCGTTCCTGTTGCGAGCACTTCGGCGGCTGCTGGCGGTGGAAGCGGTGGTGGAAGCGGCGGATGCAGCGCTGCCAAGTACCAGCAGTGTGGTGGAACTGGTTATACTGGGTGCACGACTTGCGCTGTAAGTGCCCGAAAATTTGACGAGTGGGATAATGGTTGACTTGCTAACGTGGTGATATCTAGTCCGGCTCTACCTGCAGCGCTGTCTCTCCTCCTTACTACTACCAGTGTGTCTAAACACCTCCGCAAGGGGTTACGGACACGATTGGGATGTCCTGGAAGATGGTATCAAAAGGCGAGAAATGGAACGTCGAAGTTCACCCGCCTTGCAACAAAAGAATTCGCTGTACATAAGTTATCTGGGTCTTGGTCTTGGTCTCTTGATGGCCGGGGCTGAGGCGGTACATATCCTGAATGAGAGTCGCTGAGACTTCCCAATGAAGTTGCAATATCAACGTGCTTTGAACGGTTGTATTCAATTGCGTTGCTGGCTTGGGACCGCGTACACCCCAATTTCAATCTGCTGGTTATGTCAAAATGTGTCTAGTCCTGACAGTCTTTTCACGTCAAGTGGCACAGTTATAGGAAAGATGCGATCACAACTGACATCTGTGGGTTGACTTGACCTGGATTTGACCTCGCCTATGTGCCCTAGGTCATCCCCTCTCTGGTTCCCAGCAAGCACACTCTCTAAGGCTTTGCTCTTTGTTTCCCATCTTCAGATTCCTCTTCTGTTTCCCCTTGTTTTTCCATTCATCCTTCTTGTTCCTTCTTGATGTTGTTCCCTTCCGGTCTTCCTTCCCCCCTTCCCTTCTGGTCTTCCTTCCCTTCTTTTCCTTTCCCATCTTCCCTCCCCTTCCCAGGAGCTTCTTCTACCTGTGGTAGTACCACCTATCTCCACTCGTCTCTCCTGCCGCCAGACACGACGAATAGTACTCGTCGCTGGTCCTCCCGTCGAGGTAGGTGTCGTGACGCCAATCAGAGCGGTTACAGCGAGGGCGGCTGGAGGTCCGCACCTGAAGACGCGCTCTGCGCGCTCAAAATACCTGCCGACGGGATAAAGTTCGCCGTTGCGGCTGCGCCAGCCGCGGTTGGAATGGCATCGGTCGCCGTTGAGGCAGTACTTGTATGTGTAACCGACGCGGCACATATTGGCTCTGTGCTTGCTGCTTGGGGGCCTGGTTGCTGGTTCGGTAGTTTGGGACCTTTGGCTTTGAAGTCTTGGTTTTGCTTCCTTGTGTTCTTGTCTTCTGGTTTGGGGTGAGGAAGCAAAATTCGGGTTGTTCTGGCGAGAATTGAGGGCTTTAAATAGGTAGTTTTGGGACGTCAATTTTTCCTTTTGGACTGTGAGATCGTCCGTTCTGTGGTTGTGGTGATGAAGCATCCCATGGGATGGGTGAAGGGTCCTCGCTGCATTGGACTAATGGAGGGTGTATAGGGTGAAGTTCATCCTACGTCAACCACGCAGGTAAAGTATATACCTCTATGGGATTAATGGCGTTCATCCCGGTCCTTCTACAGCGCTTCAATGGCTTCTCAACCGCGTCACAGCGTGGGGATGACCCAGCTCCCCTACAGACTACGGAGGCAGTTTCAATGATGTTCGGACTCTAACGGACGGAAGCTGAGGTGTTTGATCGTACAGTGGGTGCTATTAAAAAACGCACAACTGGTCATTTCCCCGCAAAACTCGTACTTTTTAAGTCTCGAAATAATAACACCACTCATCTTCTAGTAATGTGTGAACTTCACCGTCTGGAGTATTTTACTCTACTAGTAAAACGTACTTTTCCGTTTATTCTTTCATCCAAAAATGCCCGAAGGGGAAGGTAATAAACTAGGTACTTCAGGGAGAGCTAGATTTCCTATCCACTGTAAGCCCCTATAAGCCCGCTATAACCGATTTGCCAACCTCACCCTCGCATAAACACTACTCTTTTACCATCACTGATTACCAAAATTACTTAAGAATTTCTTTGATATTAAAAGGTATTAAAGACTCTAACCTCGAAGAAATGCATTTGGTTTAGGATATGGTAAGGTGGTTAAATCGAGGAGTGACGAAGGTGACTTTTTGGTGTTGTTTGCGGGGAAATTTCCAAGTTGTGCGTTTTTAAATGCTACCCACTGTAGATCACCGCTAGCTTACTAGGCGAACGCCGATTATTGTTCACTTTCACCTGGTTTAGCTCGAATATGATTCACTATGAATCCGTCTCGAAACCACCAGATCAGCGCCAGAGATAACTCAACTCAACTCAACTCGAGGGTTCGAGTCAGTTGAGTGGGTCAACTCAAAATCCCGAGTTGAGTTGAGTTGAGTTGAGTCGAGTTAGTTGCTAAAGTTGCCAAGATATTTGAGCTACCTATAACCCTAACCCCCACCCGGGCACCCCCTTGGGAATCCCCTCCCCGGGCGATTTTACCATCGAAAAAAATTCTGCCGAAGGCGGCCAACTCGGCCAACTAACTCGAGGGTCTCGAATTAGTTGGTTAACTCAACTCAGGGGTTCGAGTTAGTTGAGTTGAATTGAGTTAGTTGCCAAAGTTGGCTTGGCGAGTTGAGTTATCTCTGGCGCTGCACCAGATCCCCAGGGGCAGGAAGGCAGAGTTGAATCGGATGCCAGTGCGATCTGACGCCCAGAATAATGTTACGACGAGATGTACGAGGCTCTAAAACCCAAGTTCTAGCTCCATACTATGGCGCAGGTAGAAATCACAAACCCAGTGGTCATCAATGATGGAAATATAATGATATCAGCAACGGAGGGCAACCATTGATGGGTGATAACATGGAGAGCAGCAAGAAGACTAAGGTCTGCATATGTGAAGGAGATGTCAACGAGAAAATACCCAGGTATTGTGCCTCTATGGTTTGAGGCTTCAACGGGCTTGATTTGGTCATGAGTGGCACTGCTAGGTATTTTATGAGCTTCGGAGGAGAGCGGAAGATGTTAATTTGCGCTTCTCAACTATTACGAGCATGCCCCAAATGCTACGAGGTTGCTTCTTCCCTGGTTTTCTTCTCTCAATGTTCTTCCAACGGTTTTCCCCTTTATGTTTCCATTCCTGTCTTCCCACTGGTCTTCCTTTTTCCATCCTCCTTCCTAGTTTCTGTCCGGAGCACTTTTCTCAGCCATGGTCCTCCACTGCTCGTCTAGCGTCTTCTTCTTCTTCCGTGGCTCCTGGAAGCGCTCTCGCACTGAGGGCACATGTTGTCGCTCTCATTGGTGTCTCCACCGACGTACTGCTGGCCGGAGCAACCGCGGTACCTGAAGTCTGGGCATTCACGCCTGACCATGACCTCGCGAGCGTATGGTCTCACGTACATCTCGCCGGCACGGTTGACCCAGCCGTTATTGGAGACACATCTTCCTCCTTGGGAGCAGAAGTGGAATTTGTACCAGACTTGACACATCTTGGCTGTTTCTGGTTGGTTGCGTTGTTAGTGACCTGTATGCTCTGTGTTTGGGGCTTTGACAGTGTCTTGGTCCTTACCTGTGTGCTTGGATGTGGTGTTTTGGGGCTTCTGGTTTGGGACTTCTGGTTTGGGACTTCTGGTTTGGGACTTCTGGTTTGGGACTTCTGGTTTGGGACTTCTGGTTTGCGTTGGATGGTTTGGGTTGGAGGAAAAGATTCGATCAGGGCAAAAGTTGGAGTTGTTAAATACCTACTTTCTTTTCTATCCAGCCCGGTGAATTGTTCAGTGGCTGTTCTTGAGATTGAATAGAGATCTACGTGAAGGGTCTACGGTGTGGAGAAAGTGAAGGTCATTGCAAGTGAATAGTCTCCCGTGATAGGGAACCTGAGCCCGGGTGCTTGGTAAACGGCCGCCTTTCGATTCCATTCACCACCGAACGGTGATGTTGCAGAGCATCATTCTCTTGTATGGGAGCCCAGGTTGTGACCTTGGCGGCAGAACCTTGCCAGAAGATCGGGTGAAGGCGCCTATGAAGGAGTTCTTTCACGGCAGTGAATGTTGTTACTCTGAAGAGCAGGACTGTTCACTGGATTTCGAGGCGTTGATCACCCCCACAAAAGGATATCCCACTTCACCAGCACTCGGTTTCCAGTATTTGGGAGAATGAAGCCTACGGGAGGTACAAATATTGCCCGAATCCTTCCAACTCGAGCTCAAACTTGTTCCCCAGCGGGCATCCAAAACCAAAGCAGCGAGAACAACCAAGAACGCAAGTCAAGACCACCAAGACAAAGATCAAATCCCATACAAGTCCAAGACAACAACACCAAAGACAAGATGTGCTTCTACTACTACAAGTATCTCTACTGCAGCGAAGGCGCCAACTGCGTCGCCGGCTACGGTTGGGTCAACCGCAGCGGCCGGACCTATGTCAAAGAATACAGGATCGAGCAGTATCGCAAACCTTGCGACAACCACGGCCGTGGTTGCACTAGGTTAGACTACATGGGCTCCGACACGAAGCAAAGCGAGGACAGGTGCGATGACTGCAAGGACTACAATAGGGGAAGAAGCTCGCGTCGTTGAGCTCCGTAGAGGTACTCGAAAGTCGACAGAACCCGAACACTTGGGTCTGGGTTGAGAGGGAAAACGGGAACATGACTCACAAACGAAGGGAAGTAATGGGATATGATGACAAAGGGAAGCAAAGACCGTGAGGAAAGGGAAATTGAAAGCCAAGGGGAAGGAAACAAAGTGTGAAGGGACTACAAGCGAACGTCGAAAATAAGGTACCGACTTAAATAGGGAAATAAACAGCATCTTGCCAGGCCCCTGCCTTCCATTTTGTCCAAGACCCCGAGTGATTCTATTAAAACGTTGTAATTTGCCGTGAGTTCTAGTGAAAGTGGGAGTGTCTCGCCAGTTAACATGCATTGAAGTCTCCGATGAGTATCTTAGTCCAGTTCATTGCAGGGGCACGAACCGTTGCCAAGTTATCAACTCATTAAAAACAAACTCGGCCCACCAACTCACCAAGTGTTACCTACTTCATATTACTTGCTCCAGTGGATGTTTACATGGACATATTCACGATACAGTCTCAGAACTTGGGCTCTCTGGCAGGTAAACAGACGGTTTGCAGGGGTACTATATCATTGACTACCCTCCACACCCATCTGTGAGTATGACCCTCACCTTTCCTTCCGTTCCCTGACTCCTTCCGTAGGTTGGAAGATTCCAACAGCCAATTTCGATCCCTTACGTCAACCAAGTGTCCGGTCCTTTCCTGTCGGATTGGGTTACCGCTTGTAGTGCTCAATTTTCCTTTCTGTGTTCTTTGGGGGTGAGGAGTTGTGGCCTAGGCCGGTCAGTAGTGCCGGCGTCGTTGAGCTTTACCAGAGTCGGCAAGCAAGGCAAGTCTCCTCGCTGGTCTTGATTTCGGAGCCAGGTCCCAAAGACCTTCTTTGGCGGCAGTCATGGCCGCGCTCAGCGTTGTAGCAACGACGAGTGCGCAAGAACTGTGCGTAGGATTTGGCGTAGGATTGACCCTGGCGATTGACCCAGCCATAGCCGCCGCGACAGCGGGCGCCTTGTGCGCAGTACTTGTATTCGAGAAAAGTGTAGCACATCTTGACTCTTTGTGACGGGGATATGGTGACCTCTTGGTCTTGCTTGTAGTTGGGTGGTTTTGCAGTTTCTTTTGACCGGATACCTAGTAGGGATGGGGTCGATTGTTGGACGTTTGATGTAACAAGGAGCAAAAATTCATCAATGGACTGCGTTTTTATGTTGTAGTGATGCCACTGCCAAATAATGAAACCTTGAAGGTTTTCACCAGGAAGATAATGTCTCTGTGAAGGGCACTTAACGGTGAATAACAGCGGGGATGAGAAGAGGATGGTGAAGTGACCGAGGAAGACGATGGAAGGCCGGAGACACGTATAATCGCATTCACTTCTCAATCAGAGATGAACAACACCGCCACTGGCGTTGACACTCAATTCACTGGAACTGGATTGTCAGAACCTCAAGCATTAACCTTCTTCTCCATCTGCCTGAACATCATCATAGGATCAAAGAACACCTCCACCTTCTGTAACTGCAGCCTGTCGTTCACAACCGCAACTGCAATCCCCTCGATATCGATCGGTCCACCATGCGCCTTGAGCGTCACTTTCTCTCCATCCCTATTTGGTTATAAAGTCAGCATTCACTTCGCTTGCTCCTTAACCTCCCACTTCACCGGGCTTACTCACTTATTGGTTCCCACATAATCCTCCTTCATCGTACCCCAAGAGAAAACCTCAGCACACTCTAATGTGACGGCCTGGTCATCCGTCGCAACTATATAAGATCACTTGAGCAACCGAATTGCCAGCTTCGGTTACTTGTATCCTTTTGGAACATAGCCTAGGGGTGTAGTGGTCCGCTAGCGCCGTGACATCTAAGACCCATATAACAGCTATCATATAAATACTATCGTTTTATATAGTAATCTAGGGTCTTTTCAATGTTTGAAACATCGTTCTCGCCTAGCCAGATATTCGTAATACTTTTCGTAGTATTCTAAACCCCCCAAACTCGATATCGCCGTCACAGTAGTTACGGTCTGTAATCTTAATGCCTAGAATCCCCCTCTCTTATTTATTTACTTAGTAATATCTACTTTAAACCGTTTAATACGATAAGGTTCTTATTATTACCCGGCAAATATTATTATATAATTTAAGAATTCCTATTATTCTAGTAGTTCTTATATCCCCTCCCGAAGTAACTATCCTCATCCTATAAACTCTCTCTTATTCTCCTCCTCTTACGTTTCTCCTATGTATTTAATTATTCGATACTAGTATTAATAATATAAATAATATTAGTAAGTTATAGGTAGAGCTTCCTCCTTCGATATAAATACGGTAGAAGTAGGCTAAATTCTTTTTTAATAATTGGGTATTTATAAGGGCTATAGCGGGTACGCCGCTACTTAATAAAGCGCTCCTCTTCCTCGAAATCTACGTTATATAGGGGGTATTCGTTATTAAAAATATTATATTCTTCCTTTTCTACCTATTTAACCGCTTACTCCCTAAACTCCTTTTTTAATTATAATTAGGCGAATTATTCCTCTTCTATAATAACCTTCTTAAAATAATCCTTTTATATATTATTATGGAACAAATTATCGTTTCCTAATTTATTATTTATTATATAGTATAATACGATATTGGGGAGGTTATTGCGTTGGAATTGTTATATATTATTAACGGGTCATATCTTTAATTCGATAATTTAAATAATAAAGAATTAGGAGGAAGAGAATAGAAGGGAAAGAGGGGTAGGAAACGAAAGTAAATTAGAAAATTCTAAATTTAAATCTTCTAATTTAATTACTTACCTTAATTAAACTAAAGTAAGCGGGTTTTAGGGAATTAAGCTAATACTAACGAAAATAATACTCTATATATTATTATTTTAATTAATAAATACCTCTTCTTCCTTATCCTCTTCCTCCCCCCCTTATTTCGTCTACTTCCTATTCGTAGGTATTATAATAGTATTTATAATAGTATTTTCGGTATTTAAAACTTTAAAATTGGGCTTAGCGAATTCTTATTAAGAATAATTGCGATATATTAATATTAGAATAGGGATAATATTCGTAAATTTGCCCTAAGAGCTAGGCGGGTTGATACGTAAGCTAAATTAAGTTTAATTAGGTTGGGTTTAATTAAACTAAATTTAATTAGATTGAATTATATATATATTAGTTCTAATAACCCGGTTATATTAAGGAGGTTAACCTACTTATAATTTATTTTAAGAAGTATTTTAAAAAGGCTAACCTTTTTAAAGGATATTCTATAGAAGTCGTATAATAATAGTTTTATAATTAAAGAGGCCGCTTATATTGTAAGGGCGGCCTTTCGGAATTTTTATAATTATAAGTAAAACTATAAAATATTTATCGATTGCATTTTAAATAAAGGGTTAATATAGGAGAGTAATAGGGGTAGATATAGGGAAGCGTTTATTTAAAATTAGTATAAATATTAGAAGGGGTAGTATATTTCTTTTTCGATTAAAACGATTTTATTATTTTATAGCCGTACTTCTATTTTATATATATAAAATAGGCTAAATTACCGTTTAAGCCGTTAAGAGTAGGGAGGTGGAAGTTTATTTTAGTATAAATCTCCTAACTTCCTTAATAGTATTAAAAGAATTTTATAATATTAACGTTTTCATAAACCGAATATTTACGTAATAAATTTTAGAGGGTATGTATTAAATTAATTATAATTGATTTACGTCGTAGTCGCGATAACAATCAGGAAGGTTAGTAGCTATCTATAGCGAATTATGTGTATATATTAAGATTAGTACCAATTAATTAATATATATTAATTAATTATATAGAATTAGCGCGGTTAATTAGTAGGGTAGTATTGTAGGGTAGTAAGACGACGTACAAAATTATTTAAAATTGCCAAGTTAAAAAAGGGGTATATAGTTTGTAAAGACTAGTTAAAAATTTCATAAAATGTATATTATTATTTTGTGTATTGAAATGGGGTATTTTCACGGCTAAAAATGGGAATTTCAGATATCAAGTACCATTACCTATTATAGGCTACTAGGTACCCTAACCCTAATATTTTTATAGGTCTTAGAGTGTACGGAGGCTAACCTTAGAGTGTGCTGAGGTTTTCTCTACCCCAATGTCTCCACCTGAACGTCACCGTCGGCGGTCCACTGAACACCTCCAGCACCTCCCAAGCAAAAGTCGGCATTATCCTCTTGAACGTCTTGTGACTCGCGTCAAAGCTCGAATGGAACGGGCAGTAGTACTCGTTAGGCTCGATAATGGCGTTATAGGTGCCGACTTGCAGCATGTGCTCTCCGGATTGCTGTGGCCCGCCGTTCACAGAGAAGGTGTAGGAAGAGGCGTCAATGGTACGCCAGTCCGAGAGCGAAGTCTTGTATGATGCTTCGATTTCCCAGTTCTTGACAAGCTTTTCGACGAGGTCGGGAAGGGAGCCGGCGGTGTGAGAAGCCTTCTTTGCTGTATGGTCGTCAGTGTCTGTCGGGAGTAGGAGGGGACAGTGAAAGTGGTGGACGAACTCTCGGCATAGACCTTGCGGGTTCTGCTGTAATCTGGGGCTCGGCCATGACGCCAGGTGTCAATGACGTCCTTCAAGACGGCATTCTCGTCAAGGACATAGTCGGGGAGAGCCGGGGCGGGCTCTGCCGCAGGTGCCTCTGTAACCGGCGCTGGTTGATTTTGTATCTCTTCTGGGGTCATTGCGTGATTTCGAAGCTGGATGAAGGCCAAGTGAGTGAGAACCTCCAAGGTTGCCTGTCTGACGAAGCTCGAGGGGCGGGAGCTTTAACGCACATTCTGAACCCAAGGTCTTCGCCGCAGCGTTGCATGTGCTCTCGACACAGAAGGTAGGTAGCTGATAGCTTAACACGTACCTGAACCAACCTACGTATTCGCCTCTCTACTATCGAGCGATATACCCTGGTCGGTCCCTGGACCACGTTCCCTCAAGATGGAGTTGCATCGGGTCCAAGGATTCACCTGCTTCTAGGCCACGCGCTTGCGTCCTTCTCCTTCCTCACAGGGTTGGTCTGTTACCTGGTCTAGATGAACGGTGCAACCCGCTATGATCTACTCCAGGGTCTCGAGGAATCCACCCGTCCGATCTCAAACGTGAACCCTTGAGAGCAAAGGCATGCAAGCATGTGGCAATGAACACTTTGCTCATTTTGTGTGAAAAGAGTGAACGTGGTACGTACTTCAAAACCGTTGGACTTGGACATGCCGAAGAACCAGGTGAGAGGGGGTCCGATAGCGGTCGGCGAGACAATATTGGCGGCGCCATATTGAAATCTGCGAGGCCCGTGTGTTCATGCTGTGCATGGGACAGAATTTGTGTCAGCGAATGAGATGAAGGCCGGTTGGTCAAAGGATTACCCAAGACATGTCGTGAAACACGAATATTCCGGGGTTGGAAGTCCAAAGTCCGGAACACATGTTGACAGAACACAAGCATTCTCACCTGGGAGCGTGAAGAATGAGCGTCTGATTTACGTCTTGGACGGCGCGCGGCGCGCCACACTGCACCAGCCACCCCCTGAGCGCCACAGCTCAGATGTCGACCACACTTCATAGCAGAACCACCACATCACTTTGGTATTTCAAGCTAACACGAACCCAATTACATTCAAACTCTGTATAACCATGCTTAGGGTTCTCCAAATCACATACGGAGAGAAGCCAGGTCTAACTGTAAGTCATGATCATAGAAAACAAGGACGCGATACATACTACTTGAACAGGCACAAAATCACCTCCACCACCACTTGAAGCAGTGGGAAAACCCGAATACAACAGAGCCACGAACAAAGCATACAACGCAAGAGAAAAAATACTTCTCCATCCCCTTCCACAAGGACGCAAAGATACATACAAACTACAACTCAACCACAAACTTCCACCCACCGCTTCCCTCTCTCAGTTCCGCCAACGCCGGCGCAACGCTCTCCAGCCCCTTGCCCACAACTTTAACTCCTCCTGGGTGCGGAAATATAAACTCTCCTGACTCAATCAACGCCGGTAACTCTTGAAGTGCGCGCTCACCACCGGGTTGACTCAAAATCATTCTTGAAAAAACCAGTGTCGCCTTGATGCCCCTGTCGGTAGGGACATCGACTTTCCGACCCGTAGCCACTTCAGCGTACAGCTTGGGTCCATCTTCGCGAAAAACGTCCCAAAATGACATGGCCTTCGATTCCTGCTCATCCTTGATGGTGGTCTGACACTCTGGGACATCCTTGATGGTGATCTCTGACTCCGGGTCATCCTTGATGGTGGTCTGACACTCTGGGACATCCTTGATGGTGATCTCTGACTCCGGGTCATCCTTGATGGTGATCTTTGACTCCGGGTCATCCTTGATGGTGATCTTGTCTGTGTCAGCGGCAGGTTTGTCCTTCTTCTGCTGTGTCTTGGGACCGCTGTTTTCCTTATCCTTGTCGTCCTTAGGAACATTCTCCTTCTCATTGCCCCTCTTCTTCGTTTCAACATCGTCATCCGACCATTCCGACGGTGGAGTAGGGGGACCATCATCAAGGCAAGCAGCCCCAGAAATGCAATCGAGAATGGCATCCACTCCCTTTCCGTCAGTGAGAAGCCGGACCTTCTCGGCAAGAGCTTCAAATTCGCCACGTAAATGGGCAGTGGCTCCGCACTTTTGGAGCCAGTGGAAGGAGTCCTCGTTATTGCTGGTTGCGATGATGACAGCCTTTGGGCCGAGCGCCATGCGCAAGAGCTGGATTGCCGAACCGCCAACTCCCGATGAACCGCCTAGGACAAGGACGGACTTGACGCCGAACTTGTTTTCAGGGACGTCCTTCAGTTCATCGGCACCGGTTTTCTTGGGGTCGTTGTGGGTTGCGATGGGCGAAGTCGTATCGATTGTCAGGGACTCAAGATGTAAGCTATCGTCGAAGGCGGGCTTGTTGTTCGCCAGGAAGGGCAGTTGAATACCTAGCCCGCATACAATCGCCGAGCAAGCCGTGATGTAGACCAGTCTGTATCTCATTAACACTTTGTTGTCACATCAATGCGGAGCAGGAAAAACTCACGGGACACCAGCTGCCCACTCAAAAAGCCAGCTTGCCGGCTTCCTGGTAACCCAACTCTTGTGCACACACGTCACATCCTGGAACCCACCAGCTCTTCCAGTCCAAAACCCTTTCTCCTCTAGTCTGCTGTCTGCCTTCTCGGCCTCTTCCATCAATATTTCACCCACACTTTTCTTCGCCTTTCCTTCGCCCGCACTCTTCTTCCCATCACCACCTTTATCATCAGGTCCCCCAGGTCCCCCCTTCCCAGGAGGCCCACCCCTCACGCCGACCGGCCCGCTCAGCCCAAACACCTCCTGACCAACCTTCAGTCTCGCGTCCACATCCATTCCTATCAACTCAACAACACCCGCGATTTCAAACCCCAGGACTTCCGGCCATTGCTTGACCATGATCTCATGCTCCAAGTTCTTCCAGTCGATATGGTTCAGGCCGACGGCGCGGGTACGGATGCAGACTTCATTGGGGCCCGGGACGGGGAACGGATCGTCGCGCGAGATTTGAAGACTAGATGTGTAGGGAGGACCGCTGGGACAGGGCTTAACGGCCAGAAGGCGAGAGACCAATGGCTTTTGTTGGGTGAGTCGGAGATGGGAGGCGACGGAGGGCGGGGGGTTCATTTTGCCTGATGGTAAGTGGTGGAGGGAACGTATGATGGAATGTCGATGGTTTTGTAGCTGATGACGTTCGTGGGAAACGAGAATGTGCAAGTATTCTCCTTTGCTGTGGTTTGGCCGAGAACAAAAGCTGGAAAATGGGGACAAGTGATCCAAGTTGCAAACAAAAAGTTGATGTGGAACCGAGACCAAAGCAGGGAGGAGAATAACTGGGGACATGTACGATTTATGTGCGAGAGGCGGAGAACCCTTCGTAAGGCGACTTCCGTCTCTGTCCTCGTTCCCTATTCGAACTTTCTGGCCTAACAGAAGCATGGAAAGCAAGGCAGGTATTGGGGACTCACCTCTGAGAGCTAGCATGTACAAGTACGGCAAGCATTCTCGGGCCCCCCATATGAACTTGCTCAGTCAGAGAGGTGTACTTGACATACTCGTGCGCCTAGTCAAGCGCTTGAGACCTGGCTATGACCACAATTCAGGAACGGCAACCTGCGCCTTGACAGAGAAAGACAGGAATTTCCTGACCTCGGATATATGACTTGTTTATTGCTCACTTTGATGTCTGAGTAGTGTAGGTACATACGGTGACCAAAGGCCAAAATCACCAAACACTTTCCTCCACATTAGGGCGACTCCTACTATGAGTCCCAATCTTTACATCTTGTAGTGTTGGACTTGCTCTGCTATCTGAAGGGCCACAGTCATTCGGTGTGCAAGCAAGTTCTGCAAGGGAAGAGCATGAGAACATGCTCGATGATGATGCCGCCACGAACCGCTCTTGTGTCTTCAGCAACCCTCGCTTCCAACTCTAGCCACGAGGAAACCAATCAATCTTCAAGCCATCACCAGCGGCAGACTCCGAAGAGTAACCAGTGCTCCAAGTCGCACACAGACCTGCACTTGCCATGTCCTGATCGGGATCCTGGCAGAGTCCAACACTCGGCCACGACTGCATGTGGATAGTCCAGTCGGAGCAGCCATCAGAAACCGATCCGCCACGTTTCTGGTACCTCTCATCCGAGTCACAGCCATACATGGGCGCCCTGAACCTCTGGATGCACAGATTCTTGTCAAGTGTCACGGTGCAGCCTGCCTTGGAAACGACGCTGGTGATGACTGTGGTGCCGTTGTAGGGCCAGTAGGCAGCAGCAATGGAGTTCTCCCCGTGCATCATCTTGTCAGAAGCATGGCCGCCGAACGTTCCGTCGTGACCACCCTTGCAGAAGTACTCAATGGCACGCCAGGAAGCTCTTTCATCTGCCCACCAAGTCTCGTTATTGCAGCTCACTGCGATGGCGGTGGGATTCGGAAGTGCTGAGCCTGTCCGTGCGACGCTGAGTGTAGTAGCAGGTGCAATGGGCTTCACCAACTCCGTCGTGACAACAGTAGTGACAGCAGTTGTAACCGCAGTTCCCTCGACAATCATGGTAGTCGTATCAACCGCAACCGCCAGGAATGTAGTTGTCTCCTTCACGAGACCGGCAACAGTATTCGCGGCGGCACTTTTGCCACCATCACCATGTCCAGCAACAGCATTGCCACCAGTTACCAACATGCCCGCCCAACTGTTCCAGTTCAACGTCTGTCCCCTCAGGCTGTTCTTCAACCAGCAATTAGGCTGCAACGGGATGCCTCCAATGTAGCTGAAGCCCAGACACTGGTCATACTCTGCACACCACTTCGCGCAATCCTCCCAACTGTGCCTCATGCCCTCGTTGAAGTTCCAGTTGGCCGCGCCGTCATAGTGATCAATACCGCATTGGAGTTGGTACACATTGTTCGTGGCATGGTCGGTCCAGAAGGTATTGTTATCGCGAGGGCAGGAAACGGGGGTGGCTGAGGCCGAGGGTGAGAGGGTGATAACCGAGAAGGAGCTGGAAGGAATGGGGGAAATGGGCCAGGGAATGGTGAGGGTGCTGCCACTCTCGGTGTCGCTGATGCTGGAGGTGAGGAAGGTGTTGGTAATGGTCGGCTGGAGAGGACCGGTGTCGGTGGGACGGGCATCGGTGGGGAGGGCTGTGACTGGAAGTGGAAGTTGTTAGCAGGCGGTCATAACGGGTCGTGGGAAGGGACTCTGAACTGGAGAATGGGAGCATAGAACGTGGCGCGAAAGTGTAAACAGCCATCCTGGTGAGGCCCGGAACAGTCACACCGCGACAGGTACTCGTGAACGTGAACAAACGTGAACAAGGGAGTCGGGACTCAGAACTACTCACCAGCAGCAGAGGGTTGAACCGCAGCAACAGCCAGACCAGCGGCGTGGACTCCGAGGCCGCTGCCAAAGGCGATCAAGCCCGCAAGAAGGTGGAAGCGCATCGTGATGATGGAACCTGACTCCGTCTTGACGCCTGTCGATTTCGGAAGGAGAGAAAGGAACGAGTGGACACCGTCGACGACCGGCTTGTGGGTAACGAACGTGAAGATAACGAGCGTGGGGGCAACGAACTTTGAAAGAGAGAAAGGCGGAGGAAGGGGGATTGATCGCGACCTGGCTCTCTTATGGAAGTTGAGAGCGAAGGCTGGAGGAGGAAGAAGGTCGTGGAAGAAACGCGTTGGCACGAGGAAATGAGGGACGAGGAGATGGAAGCCCAACCTGAGGGGAACCTGAGAGGAAAGTGACAAACGCGTCCTGCAGTTGCCTCGAGCGCATGTTGGCGTGTAATCTCGGGTCCGAAGAACGGACCATCTTGTCCGATGACGACTACTTGATGGTGGGAGGAAGGAGCGGCCCGGAGGAAAGGCAAACGATTTGACTCCACATTGGAAATACCGGAAGGTGCTGTGATAGTAGTAGCGTAAGCTTGGGCCTGGCCTTCAAGGTTCTCACAAATTTGAGAAGTCGACAACAGTTACTAACACTTCCATCACGAGATGTCGGGACGACGGGATTGTAACTGAAATAGGTGGGGTTGCTTACCTCGAATGGTCCGGTACTCCACTTCAGTAACTGGACAGAAGAGACCTAATCGTCGGAGACAGAGGGCAGATTGCAGACCGGACAAACAAGTCGGACGACTGATCAAGAAAGTCGTGAGAGTAGTAACACCGCTCAATCGTGATATGTACAGACGAAGATAAATGATGGTATTTTCTCATGCTATCCAACTGCCACAATACCATGCCTTGATTAATCGGTATCCAGCTTATCGCTCTGTATCCGTCTTCCCATTTATGGAAGAACCTCCTCAAGCTCCAACTTCCTCGAGCTTGGTCCAACGTAGACCTTCTTCGGATACTCGGTAACCACCCAATCCTGCTTCTCCGTATCCCATGAGCTCACATCCCTCCTCGTCAGCACCGCCCTAAACTGCACCTTCTCGCCCGGCTCAACCCTAAGTCTGTCAAACCCTCTCAACACCACCTTCGGATCTTCCGGCCCTCCGAAGCTCACGTACAACTGCGGTACTTCATCGCCCGCCACTTTACCAGTGTTGGTGATATCCGCCGTGACGGTGTACACGATGTCGTAAAGAGCAGGATTTCCACCGGGGTGATGATGGCCGGATGAGCGAAGCAAAGGCTGCGCCGACCCATCGCTGGCCTTGGGTGGCAAGAACTCCTCGGCCGTCTGGCCGTAGTGGGCATCGCCACTGGAAGCAGACATGTCGGTGCTGTTAAGGTAGGGGTAGATGAACTGGTAGACGTAGGGGAACTCTTCGGAAGGGAATACGTAGTCTTCCACGTTTTCAGAGAAGTTACCAAACGTGGGCGCTTGTTCCGTCTGCCCCGTGGTGGGGGTGTACTCGCCGACTTCGTGCTTCTCGATCTTCAAGTTGCTGTACTCAAAGGTGGTATAGCTCAATCCGTAGCCAAACTCGTAAAGGACAGGAGCATCGGCCTTGTCGAAGTGGCGGTAATCGATGAAGACCCCTTCGGTGTAGTCTAGCTGAGGAGCTTCGTTCCCGTTGTTCGGCTCATAGAGAACATCGGTGCCGTAGCTGTCGCGCGTGGCGCCCCAGGTGAAGGGAGTGCGGCCAGATGGGTTGACTCTGCCATACAAGACATCGGTGATGGAGTTGCCGCTCTCCTGACCGGGCATACCGGCCCAGAGGATGGCGGTGATGTTGGGGTTGTCGTACCATTCCGTGAGCAAGACGGGACCGGGCGAGTGGATGACGACAATGGTGTTGTTACACCAGCTCGAAACGTTCTTGACCAGCGCGTCGCCCTCCCTCCAAAGGGTGAGGTTCAGGCGGTCACCTTCATTGCCATCAACGTTGATGTAACCTTCACCAGAGTTGGCGTTGACAAAGACAATGGCCGTAGCGTCCTGCTGGGAAACCAGAGCCTTGATCTCCGTTGGGGCATGGTTCCTCAAGATACTCTCGTAGCGAGACCCATCCTGAACAGCGCGGGCCTGCAGGGCTTGGTCGGGCGTCACAAGATAAGGGAAGTTGCCGGTGCCGGAACCCCAGCCAATACCCAGGGTACCATTGTCACATCCACGGTCGGAGCATCCATTGGGTCCAAAGGGGTTCGGGCCAGCATCCTCACCAATGACAGCGAGGAACTTTGGCTTGTTCAGGGGAAGGGAGCCGGTGTTCTTCAACAGCACTGTTCCGCGAGCCGCGATCTCCCTAATAAGGCTTCCGTGGTCGTCCTGAACGTCAACATGCCAGTTGATCTGCTGATGATCCTTGCCGGCGGCCCAGTGCAGCGGGCCATACGTGTCGAGGGTCCAGAAGGAGAAGTTGATGGGCTCTTGGTCTTCGACGGTTTGGCCAACCTTGAAGAAAGCAGCCATGATGCGCATGGCCATGTCGTCAATGCGCCACTCCGGGAGGGTTCCATTAAGGACGGCGAGTGTGAGGTTGGTTCCCCAGTAGCTGCGGCCGCTGTTGAACTCGGTATCACCGGGCATGGTCATGTCGAGACCGGCAGCAGCGCTCGCGACACCAGTGTGCTGGGCTTGCCAATCGCTCATGACAAAGCCCTGGAATCCGTTCTCGCCCTTGAGCAGGTTGTTGAGGAGCTTCGAGTTCTGGCAACCGTACGAGTTGTTGGCCTGGGTGTAAACGCACATGACGGAGCCTACACCAGCTCTGATGGCATCAACAAAAGGCCAGAGATACATTTCGTGCATGGTCTTGTCGTCAATGTTGGAGGATAGAGTCTCGGAGATGTTGTATCCATAGCCCTGTGCCTCCCCAGTCTGTCTGAAGTGTTCTTGTTCGTTGCCGACAAAGTGCTTGGCGCAAGCGACGACACCAGCGTCTTGTGTTCCCCTGACGGTCTCCGCCATGGCGACACCGGTGAGGACAGGGTCGGGGGAGAAGCCTTCCCAGTTACGGCCGCCTTCGGGGGCACGGCCGAGGGGACCGGCAACAGGTCCGAGTAGAACCGTGACTCCCTTCCCCTTGGCTTCCTGGCCCAAAGCATATCCGCGTCTGTACATGAGACCTCGATCGAACGTGGCGGCGGTTGTCACTCCGGCGGGGAAGACTGAGTTGTAATCGGTGCCACGGATGGCCAAGGGGGCATCTTGCATGCACATGCTCTTTAGGCCGAGTCGAGGGATGGCGCCGTTCTGGCCTACGCATTGTTCAGCGCCCCAGCTGTGTGTCTATCTGTTAGCTTTGTTGACGGTACATAGGGTATTGGATGCGCTTCGTGAGCCACGTACCCGATACCGGTTGTCAGATTGACTTTTTCGAGCAGGGTCAACTGCGACACAAAGGCCTTTGCCTTTTCGTAGGCGTCTTCCCAGCCGATGGCCTTGGAGTCCATCCATGGTGATGGATAATGGGGTTCCGAGTAGGCAAGCGACCTCTTGTTGAGCTGTGTTGACGGATCTATGTCAGCAAATGGAAGCGAGGTCCCCAAGACTGTTTGTATAGACAGCCATGGGACGGCGTATCTGAGATGCATGTCTGGCAGGGACTGTTGGGCCGATCACACAGAGTGTGCGATGAACGGTCAATCTGGATAAAATGGAACGTGCAGATGTTTGGTAGCACTACTATGGGATGCAGTGGTACTGTGTGGTGATGATCCAGCAAGCTGGAAACGGGATCGAGGAAGATCTGGACAAAGGAAGCGGGAAGAATGGGACGGGTACTTTGGACCGATGATATATCTCGAAGCTTACCTGTTGATGGGGAGGTTGGACCGGCTCGGGCACAGCCAGGGCGAGATTGCCGCTCGCCAGCAAGGCAAGCGGAATGGCGAACTTCATGGCGAGATGTTATGGTGTGGACCTTTGGAGGAGCTTGGAGCTTTGACCCCTTTTTCTCACCAGACACAACACTGACACTTCAGTAGAAAAGGTCCTTTGTGTGATGGAACAGTCCAGACGCGGCCGATGAAGATGGCACCGAGTTGTGCGGGGGAGAGGACCGATATATACGGACGGCTCGACAACATTGACCCCTGGCAATCCCCTGTCCTTCTTCTGTCCTTGTTTACATGATGCTGTGGATGACGGGTGGATGGTCGGATGGGTCTCAGACATGCCGTCGAGTTGTACACCGAACCTGGATCAACAAGGGGTAGATGGTCTTCCCTGGTCCATGTCGCAGTGCGTGGGCGATGATCTTGATTCCATCCTTGCGGGGAAGAGAGAAGGTCGCGAGAATATTGGTCCGGTCAACGAGAGCGTCGGCGATTGGCGATTGAGCGGTGGGCGACAGACATTTCCAGTGCCAAGGGCAGCAGATGTTGGAAAAGGGCCGATCAGGCTTGCGATATTAGTCAGGAGGTTGGAAAACTAACGAAAAAGCACTCTTCCGGTCAGGCACCGAGTCGAGGAGCCGGAAGCGCGCAAATGGCTGAACAAAGAATTGGCGGACCACGGCAGATTTTCAGAAAAGAAACTTTGGGTTGAGGTCATCGAATGCATGTGCGACCGCTTCCAGTTGGACGGGTGCGGGGATGTGGGGATTTGTGGAGAATGGGATCGACTGCGGGGGCGGTTCCCGTCCCGTCATTCCGTCAACCGGGCAAGAACTCCAAACTTTAGAGCACTCCGTTGTTGCGATCAATCAACAGCTAATGTCATGGAACTACAAAGTACATAAAGTCGTTTTTAACTTTACAGACTCAAGAGATCTTCTGTGTAGGATGTATCCCATTCAGCCCAAATCTCCTTGAACCAAAAATAAGCTTTGGGGTTTCGTTTCGATTGAGCTCCATTTGCCGTTGTGGGGCACAAACAAGTGGCCTGTGCCATCCTAGTCAGCACCTTGACGGCTCGACAGGCTACTTTAGGCAAAACTTCGGAATCTTCATTCAATCGCCTGCGGTTCCTTGATGTCGTTGGTCTTGAATTGGTCTTTCTTCCGGACATCTCGGCTCCTTGTTTTCCAGAAAAACAACCCATTGACCGGTGCGCCATTTGCGGGGAGCAACAATGCTGAATGACAGAGGAGACTATAATCCATCGTTTTGCGAAGGGGAGATGAGATGTCGCTGATCCGAATTACCACTTTCGACGGCAGCAGGCAATTTACTTTGTGCCACCACCAGAGAAAGCTTGGGAGCTCACGAGTCAGATGCTGGGGTGAGATGATGTCGCACTCACTCTTTTTTGACCGCATTTACTTGGACCGATTCCTCCTCTTGAGTCATTGGCCGATCAGCCTCCAATGTCGCCGAAAAAGGAAGCTCCTTGAACAAACACCAGTGCCGGTTCTTTCTTGACCGTTTCCATGATGACATCGTTGTCTCCCCGCAACTTGAACCCCAAGCTATCAGATTATAGGGTGGTATTCTGGCCAGATGTGGGCTAGATGCTAGAGTCCTAGCCACCTAATTTAACAGGTCTTGGCAAATATGGGTTACCCCCAGACCCCTAGACCTTCTGCAGAGAGAGCGCTCGAGTCAGTTACACAGATTCAATCAATCACACGCGTTACCCCACACGAAAGGCCCAATGGGACTTGGCATCCTCGATTTCAATGTTGCATTTCGGGAACCTTCAACAGTTCTTTTCTCCTCTTTCCAACGCCTTGGATTGGGATTGGCTCTGGTGGTTACATGCATCGGATGCAACATTGCTCCGGTCTAGGGGTTGCCTGTGATAGTGAGACCTGTCACCTGACCAGCGTCGGGTCACGACAACGGATGACTGCTGTGATGCCTTGGCAATGTTCTCTCGCAGCTTCACGCTGAGGACATTCGTTCAATTTTGAGTTCTGAGTGGGATTGAAGCTGCACAGGAAGGTTTCCAGGTGATGAGCAAAATGAGTGGCAGGCGTTGAGGTTCTGTTTCGATCCCGCCTGCGCAAGTGTACACTAATCGCAGCTCTGAGTTTCGATATCGCGTACCCGATAGTCGCTGCACCCAACAAACACAAGTAATGAGGTTGCATGTTCAAAAAAACCACATCCACGCCTACAGGTAATAAGACAGTGTACTTTTTGGAAAAAAATTCAATGCTTAAAAAAAGCCATCATGTCATTGCCCATCATCAGCACAACAGAAACCAAGAGTGGGACTTGGCAGTGGAGTCACAATGGCAAAATAGCAAAAAGAGAAAGTGGATGACCCCAACCCGATTTGAACGGATAACCTTTCGATCTGGAGTCGAACGCGCTACCGTTGCGCCATGAGGCCTTGGTTGAAGAAATCGCCTTTGTGATCGAATTACATGGGGATTTCGAACTACGCGGTTGAAGAGAGATGGGCCATGGTACGCAAGTCACGAGAGACACTCACATGTTTCGGGACAAGCAGCAATAAAAGCGAACAGTAGACATTTCCAGAGGGGAAACAAATGGATACAAACTATGAGGAACGCAGTGTGTCATAATCTTCCAAGTCGGTAAACACTTTACAGATGTTGCTAGTTGTCGTTACTTGCAACCTAAAAAGATGTCCCAGGCAAGTCAAGCCCAACTGGAAGTTTATCGCAGGGTCTGTGTCCAAAACTCCTCATGAGTCAATCAACAGTCATCACAATGAATCGAACGCAAACGCCAGCCTAAATTGTCTTATAGAAGCGTGTAGTGTCATGCGATGACAGATCTGCACCCCCTTCGTGCTTCATCCTATCAACACCTCCATTCACCAGGATATACTCACTCTCGTGAGCATGGAATATTAGTCAAGATGGAAGCTACTGGTGAGGACTAGAGGTATTTAACTGCAATCTCAGGCAGAATCAATAGCGTTCTCGTCCTCTATATTTCAAGAGACAAAATCTTAAATCACCCCTACCTGGTATCTACACTTACCCCAACCACACAAGCATCGAGGCAACATGTGCCACTGGTACATCGAATACAGGTTCTGCTCCCAAGGCCCCCACTGCCTCGGCAACTACGGCTGGGCCAACGCTTCCAGTCAGCTCTATGTCCGGCCCTACGCTTCCATTCGCCGCAATCACCCGTGCGAGCAGTCCAGCAGAAGAGGCGGATGTGGACAATCGACGCGTTTGGGGCCGGGGTCCGATATCAAGACAAGTGACCACATGTGCGGATTCTGTAGGGGTGATGTGCCAAAGACGGATGCGGGAAAGAAGAATGACGGCGATGGAGGGAAGGGGGATGGGGACAAGATGGACGTGGATGTGTGACGAACCGTTACAAGCACAGGAGTATATCGCTGGGAATAAGAACAACGGTAATAGTAGCCAAAAGGTACTGATCGATTCTAGAAGCTATTGCTTGCTGAAGAGCCAGAATAACGAAGGCCGGGAAGCGGCCTTCTTATATACTGGCCTTCGAACCCGTCCCGTAGTCCCGCGATCTCGGGACCCCGGGACCGTGGGGGCGGTGTCCCGTAGTCCCGTGTTCTCGGGACTCCGGGACACTCCACATGACCTGGTCCTGTAGTCCCGTATTCTCGGGACTTCGGGACCCTGGGTTCGGGCTGCCTTTTATTGGTCAATCCATCTAGCTTACATAAGGGGTTTCTGATTGGATCGTAACACGATGCCCCCTCCTTGTGGCTTTGTCCTCAACGCCATAATGTTACCCTTTGTTGCTTGGGTGCCAACGAAGCCTGTTGGTCGCAACCTTATTGCCTGCCGTCTCCCTTTTTCCTGATCTCTTTGCCCTCGCATCTTCATAACCCTGTATGACCCTAGTTCCTTGGTGAGTTCCTTCTTTCCCTTATCCACATCATCATTGATCATGCCTCCTTCTCGTTCTCAATCGTCGCGCACTCCTCAGAAGAGGGTGTCTACTAACGGCCTTGCGCGTCATATCGAGCAGCTTGGTCGCGCACCCGAAATGCCTTGTTCCAATTGTCATCAGCACAATCGTTCTTGCATCGTGGATCGCAAGAAGTCTCTCTCATGCAGCGAGTGTATTTGTCGCAAGGTTGCCTGTGACGTGACGATTGACCCGGATGCTCGTCGTGAGTCTGTGTCTGCTCGGGTCGTCGTGTTGGATTCGTGCTAACTTGTTTAGTTGACAAAGAGATGGACGTATCGCGTCGTCTGGAGGAGGAGGAAGAGAAGCTGATGCGGGAGATTGCGGTGCTTCAGAGTCGTTTGATACGCACTCGTGAACAAAAACGTCATTCTTTGCGTCGGCAGAAGGAGTATTTTGACCGTGGAATGGCTGATTTGGCGGAGGAAATGGGGGACAGCGATCCGCTTGTTTCCGAGGAGCCTGCTACTTTCGAGCCAGGCGTTGCTTTGCCCGAGGTTGGGTTTGACGAGTGGGCGCAGGAGCAGGGACTTGATCTCCCTGAGATTCTGTCGCCTGGGGTGGCTGGGGTCGGTCAGGAAAGCGTCGGTGAAAGTTCTCGATCTCATCCTTCAGGTTGACGAGGTTCTCTGGAGGTTCCCATGTGTTGTTTCCGTGGCCGTAGCCTTGCCACTTGATTAGGTATTCGATGTTGCCAGTGTCGTCGTTAATTTTTGAGTCCAGGATGGCTTCCGTTAGGTATTCGTCTCCGTCGTTCCAAGTTTGAACGTTCTTGTCGAGTCTTGCGTTCTTAGGTGCTGGTTCTAGCAGTGAAACATGGAACGTAGGCCATTGTCGCATGCCTTTGGGGAGCTCAAGTCTATAGTTACTAGTGCTAACCTTCTCGAGCACTTTGAACGGACCTAATTTCTTGTAGTCGAGTTTGTCGCTGGGCCGTTTTGTTTTGATATTGCGACGAAGAAGGTAGACTTTGTCTCCCCTCCTGAAGGTCGGCGCCGACGACCTCGTGCGGTCGTAATATCTGTTCATTCTGTCACGCACAAACGCCAATTCGTCCTTGAGCGTCTGATGCATCTCGGTTAGGCGTTCAGCCCGTACATGTGCTCGCGGTACGACTGACTCCGAGTCCCAACCTCGCCGGGAACTCATTTCGTAACCATAATTGGCGAAGAATGGCGTGACTTTTGTTGTTTCGGTCTTGGAACTGTTATACGACATTTGAGCGGTAGGGAGTAGCTCAGCCCAATTGTCCTGCTCGTAATTGACGTATGCTCGTAGATATGCCTCCAAGACCTGGTTCATGCGTTCCGTTTGTCCGTCCGTCCTGGCGTGGTATGCGGTCGACATCTTGTGTTTGACACCTAGTTTATTCATGAAAGCTTGCCAATATCGTGACGAGAAGAGCTTGTCTCTATCTGTGACTAACTCTTTTGGCCAACCATGATTAGATGTGATGTATCTTATGAAGATGTGGCCAAGTTGTTCGGCATTAGTGTCTTCTCTGAACGGGAGGAAGTATGCAAACTTCGTGAATCTGTCCACAACAACCATGATGCTGTCATATTCGACACCAGTGGCTGGGTCTCGAGACATGGGTAATCTCGTGATGAAGTCCATGGTTACTGAATGCCAGGGTCCTTCTGACACTGGGAGTGGCTCGAGCAGGCCATATGGTTTGTGTCGATTGGCCTTGGTTTTGTGACAGATTTCACATTCATGCAGGACCTCTGTAACAATGTCTTTTAGCTTAGCGAAGCCAAATGTTTCCTGCACTCTGGCCACAGTGCGTGCTATCCCTGCATGACCACCTTCCTCTGGGGACTCGTGGATGTCTTTCACGAGTTCCTTTTGCAGTGACGGTGGTACCCATAGTTTCCCTTTGTGCAGCCACAGCTCGATTGATGTTGCCAGGTGTTTCTGGATTTCCTCGTCGTCTACTTCGTGTTGTGCCTCGGTGATTCGTTGGATCCAGTCGTCTGGGTCCACTTTGGCAATGTTATAGACGTTGAGGTCATCCTCATCGAGATCGTGGATCGGTAGTGGCTTGTGCGCCAGGGATCCGTCGCTGTTTGTCTGGAACAGGGCTGGGGACAAGTTGGTTTCTTCGGACTTTGCAGTTCGAAGGTCTTCTCTTCTACTCAGCGCATCGGCTCGAGCGTTCTCAGATCCCTTGCGGTAATGGATATGGAAGTTGAATTGCGACAGGAATTCGGACCATCGAGTCTGTCTCTGGTTGAATTCTTTGCTGGTGGTGAAGTACGTCAAGTTTTTGTGGTCGGAGTACACTTTGACGACTTCCTTCGTGCCACTCAACCAGGGCTTCCATTCCTTGAATGCCCAAATGATGGACATGAGCTCTTTGTCGTGTATGGGATAGTTGAGCTCAGGTCCACGAAATGCCTTGGAGAAGAAGGCAACGGGGTGAAGACGGCCTTGTTCGTCTCGTTGGCCCAATTGGCCACCCATTGCCCAGTCCGATGCGTCGGTTTCGACCTCGAATTCCTTGTTTGGGTCGGGAAGGACAAGGATCGGGTCGTCCAGTATCATCTGTTTCAGGGTGTTGAAAGCCCTGTCGCACTCCTTTGACCATATGAATGCTGTGTCTTTCTTGGTCAGGTCGTTGAGTGGCTTAGCGATGCCTCCAAACCCTTTGATAAAACGTCGGTAGAAATTAACGAAGCCCAGGAAACCCCGAACCCCGGATACCGACGTGGGTGCTGGCCATTCGGCGACACCCTTTATCTTGGAGGGGTCCATGCGAATCTGACCGGGTGAGATGCGGTAGCCCAAGAAGTCTACTTGGGTGACATGAAATTCACTCTTCTTGGGGTTGACGGATAACCCGGCCTTCTCGAGGGCCGCAAGGACCTTGTGGACGTGTTTCTGATGTTCTTCTTCGTTCTCAGAGAACAGGATGATGTCGTCAATGTAGGCCATCACGAATTCGCCTGCAAATTGTTTGAGTACGGCGTCGATTCTAGCTTGAAAGGAAGCGGGCGCATTGGTTAACCCTTGCGGCATGATGCGGTATTCATAGTGCCCTAAGGGTGTCCTGAATGCG